GAGCGGCAATGGTCCGTGGCTTCAGCTGCAGTCTTGGCCGCTCATTGTCGTCTGGAGAAAAAGGATGGATAAATAAGGATCGATATACAGGTAAACGAAAAATTTGGTGGATTTGGGCAGTGATGAAGTAGAAAAATGTATTACAAATGGACCCTCTACCAAAATTATTATTGTTTTCTTATTTACATTATCAAATTTATAAACAATCTATTCAAAAACAATACAAAAAAATGTTTTGGAATTTACTGGTTTCTAATTTTATATTATTATTATTTATATTTAACAAAATAATACAAAATTATGACAACATTTTGAATATATGTGAGAAACAAACATTTATAAGATGAACAAACAAACATTTACAGACAATAAACTGCAATGTGTGCAATTACTTGAATTCATGAGTTTACTTCTCTTTTCATATCTCAACGAATTCGCGATCTACAAGTTAAGAAAAAAACGAACAAAGTTGATGATGCCTGTTAAATTTTCGCTGCTATATACACACAAACTTTTCTAACTATCTATGCCCTCTTTTACTTTAGGATTTTAATATTTTTTAAGGCACATCTTGGTGCTATATTTCAGATCCCACCTATTTGTGCAATCTGCGCAACTCACCAATGGCGCCCATCGAGGAACCACCGCCGACGCCCAATCCGCCCGATCCGCCAGAGCCGCCGCCCAGGCCGCCCATTCCACCCATTCCGCCGCTGGGACGTTCACTCTGCTGGTTGGGATTGTAGTGTGTGCGCTCGCGGTCACGGTGCCGGCTGAAGTTGTTGTAGCGATCGCCGTCGCGCGACTGATTGCCATAGCTGCCTTCCCGCTGTCCACGGTCGCGATCCTGGTTGCGATCGAATCGATCGTCGTTGTTGAAGTTGCCGTACCGACCCCGATTTGCCGGCCGATCTGCAACGGAAACAATTGGATTAGCTCATGTTGGCCAGGAGGAAACCTGCTTAGAGTTAGGCTCAGCATGCTGGCTAAATGCAGTTCAAAGTAAAAAGCGTGCGGGTGGAAAGTCGTTTCAAATATATTAAAGTGTGTGCTTGGGCTACTGATACAAGGGAGCTAACGTCGTAGAAGGGTGGGTCGTTTGCAATGGACGCAAATTAGGCTCAAAAGTAGAAGGTGGTTAAAAGTAAGCAATAGAGCATGTTGAGCATCCCCAATTCAAAAGATTTTAGTTTTACGCTTCGATTGGTGTAAACTAGATCTGAATTCCAATCAATCAAAACACCAACATTTTGTTGTTTTCAAAATAAATGCTGCAAAAAACTTGATTTAGACATTTAAATAAAAAAAATGGAAAATTATGGAAAATTTATATAAATTTAAAATAAAAAACTTCACGTGCCATTTTTATCCCAAATATCTAAACTCAATCTGGTGTACATTTACAGAAAGTAAGGTAAGTACAATAATCCAAAGCATAGGTTAACAAAAATAAGACTACTACTATTACTTATTCACCCGGAGAGTTCTTATAAAATCTCCAACATCAATTATATTAAAGTTTTTATAAATGTAAATCATTGTTTACAGAAGATTAACACTACGTTTCTCTTGTTAAGTTATAAAAAAAATGGCTTAGTAACTTTCAAGGACGATAATGCCCTTTAACGGGTGTGGATACTCCATTGTCGACCCACCCCAGTACGAAACTGGCAAAGAAAAGCAAAGCAAAACCAACTTAAGATCAGTACGAAGAACCGCAGGAGGATAACAAGTAAAGAAGGATCAGAAACGGAAACAGAAAAGGAGATTCTAAGATCACTTCCGAGGACTGCAGCATGGATGTCTTCCTGCCATGCGACCGAATCGAATTAGTATTTGAATCAGGATCAGAGTCGGAATCGTAATCGTAATCAGTAATTAGAATCAACTACTTTTTGGCGGCACTACGAGGGATGCAGCTACGTGTTGTTGGTTGGTTGAGTTGGTTGATTGGTTGGTTGGACGGCAGATAAAAATGCTTTACCATTGTATCCTCTATTCATGCCACCGCCGGAGCCCGCGCCGCTGCCGCCGCCGCCGCGACTTCTATCATTGTGACCACCATAACTATCATTGTACGAACCTCTACTATCGCCGCGATTACCCGATCCGCCGCCGCCTTCGCGACCGCCGCCAGTGCCAGGACCTCCCCGGCTGTAGGACTGACTGCTGCCGCCCTGGCGAGGTGGGCCGCGCTTCTGGAAATCCCTGCCGTCGCCGCGGGTCATGCCTCCGTTGCCACCACCGCCGACACCGCCACCAGGGCTGTAAGAAAGTAAAAATATAGTATTTCATCTAATACACCAGTGAGTGTGGGAGTGGTTTGATTTGGAGGCCCAAAAATCGTTTAGGGCACGTATTCAATAGACAGTTGTAAGCATTTTTGCTTGGGTTCGTCAGCACTTAAATATAATAATTACTTATCGCTTTTGAGAATTTTAGCTAATACAGTAATATTGAAAAACTTGCCCAAAAGGTTTGCTTGTATGCAACAAATAGCATTATCTCGAACCCATTGCTACTAATTTAATGTATTGGAAGTTAAGTGTTTTGAACTTTTGGTTAAGAATAAATTTGTAAATGATATGATATTTAAATATAGACGTATTAAACACTTCATATAATTTCTAAGCAAAATCAAACATTGAAGTTTTCGAAAAACAAAATATTTAAACTGAATTATTAGGTTAATTTTGTACACTTTGTGTCGAGAAAGTATTGAGGAGAAACATTTAATTTAAGATATTATTTATATATGATATTTTAAATCGCCGAGCTATAGGTGATTATAGAACCTTAATTTCGTTGGCGCTTTGCTTGTCTAATTGTCTATTGATAACGTTCCCCCAAACGATTTGTATTATTCTTTTGGTAGTCTTTACAAATCGAACCACTCTGATGCGTATAGCCTCTGCCCACATACCGATCATTTTTCCGGCGATCGGCAATATCGATGCGCAGGGGCGCCGAAAGATCGTCCAGTTTGATTCGGCCATCGCATTCTAGCGCCCGCTCCAGATTGTCCAGCGTTTCGAACTCCACGTAGCAGAAGCCTTTGAACTGATCCGTTTCGCGATCCTTCACCAGCCGCACGTTCTTCACCTCGAAGTCCTGGAATATTTTGATCACATCGCCCTGCACTAGGCCTTGCGGCAGATTGCCGACGAATGCGATAAAGGGCGGTTCTGTGGGCAACTGCTTCGATGCCCGGTCTCCACCGAATCCGCTTCTGGAATGTGAAAATATTTTATTAGAAGAGTGGGTTATATCAGCTAACTAATAAAATAAAAGGTGTCAGTACGGAAAAACGGGATTATTATAATGGGTAATTTGTTGTTATTACACGATATTAGTGTTTTGAAAATGTTTAATAGGCAGTTATTAATTGTTTTTTTGACATTTAGTTTAAAATGATTTTACTAACTTCAACTAAACATGATCATTTATATCGATAAAAATATTAGTAAATTTAAATGACCATTTATATAGGTAAAAATATTTGAAGTTATTTTTCAAAATGTTTCTGTATAGATTTTTGAAACCAATAAATTTGTTTGTAACTGGGTTCACTATTGTTATTGTTTGCGGTATGTTAAGTTATAGTTTATTGGAACCACAGGGCATCCTGATCCTGGATCAACCATGCCAGGACCTAAAAATTATTTAGTTTACAAAAAGTGTGCCCAAATTCTGATGTTGTTACGCATTGTTTGGTGGATCATTGCCTGGGATCCTTAGAACATTGACACCGAAGCCGAATTTAATTAAAGGGGGTGTGTCTGCGTCTTCTTCTTGATTGTGGGGCCTGGTGGGGTGAAACACCACCCCCTTAGGCAAAACGCACATGGCTGGAATATCTAGCTAATGCTGGCGCCGATTCCCGGCGAAAAGTCAACAAAGATGCAGGCACAAAAATAACAGCAACAACAAAAGCGGGGGACAGGTGTCAAATGGTGGGGAAAATCGCGCGCGCTTTTTGGCGAAAACTGCATTCTCCATGGATTTTGCATCCATTTTTGGGTTTTTTTTTTGTGGGGGGAGGGGGACAATTGAAAAGCCGCCTGTGCGCTGCCGTCGACGCCGGCAGCGACGCCGTCGCCGGCCGAAGCAGAATTTCCCGAAAAGAAAAACAACGCAGGCGGTGGAATTAAAAAAAAACGACAAAAAAAATGAAAAAGAATTTGGAAAAAAAAACACGCACGCACACTGCCCCGCACACACACATTCACTTACTCACGCGCACACATACAAAGGCGGCGGCGACCAACGACCGACACGTACACTATACGTGCCCATATGTGTTCGGGCGCGCGCGTGTGTGCGAGCGGCGAGGCGAGAGCGTGCGCGTGTATTGGTAGGCTGGTGTTGCCTTTTTTTGCCCAAACCCCAAAAACCGCGTGCATTATTACACATTTTGGCCAAATTGTCGACACTCGCGCAAATTACCGGCACCGCGGCCACTTTCACTAACACCGGCGCATCGCGGTCAACATACAGCGTTCGCGATTGCAAAAATAATTAATAATATTTACCTAGCGTGTTCATAACCACCTCTTCCAGCCATGTTTTATTTTTTTCAAATGAGCGAATTCGCTGCAATCCGCAGTGTGAACACACGGGCGAAAAATACTATCGCGACGAATTCGCCGTAAGAGTGTCACCACACCTCGTTTTCGGTTCTTCGATATTGTTTTTGGTATTTTTATATATGTTTAATATAAAATTAAGTTATAGGAATAACAATAATTAAAAAAGTACAAATATTTAAAAAAATATTATTGATATACTTTCAACTCGAGTATCTGCGCTTTTTAATACATATCCTTTTTTTTTATTATATTATCAAAAATTTAAATCTAAAAAAATATAGTTATATTTTACTCGTTAATAAAGCTTAACTATTTTTTTTAATAAAGTAAGTAGTTAAGAGTTCTTACATTCTACCTCAAACGTAAACTAGTATCGATATTTAGAGGAAAAAAATCAACCCTACCATTTAGTGCACCTAATCAGCTGGCAAAGTACAAACTCCTATCCTAAGCAGCTATAACTATACGAATAAAATAATAAATAATATAATAAAACTATGGCGGAAGACAATTGCATTTTTTGCAATATTTCCAGCGGCCAAGAGCCCACCAGTGTTTTGGAAGTGGAAACGGATGAGTTTGTAATTTTTAAGGACATCAAACCCGCTTCTCAGCACCATTATTTGGCAGTTACCAAAAGACATTACAACAGCCTCAAGGTTCTAGACAAGTCCCACGATCCCATGGGTGAGAGTACTCTTAAATATTTTTTAATTTATTTTGAAGACAAATATCCCTTAAATGCATTTTAGTCGCACGGATGGAAAGCAGTTTAAGGGAGTTCCTGACGAGCAAGGGGATTTCTGACCAGGATGCGTTGTTCGGCTTCCACTTGCCACCGTTTATCACGGTCAACCACCTTCATATGCATGCCATTGCCCCACGGTCGGAAATGGGCTTCCTATCCAGATTAATATTCAGACCGTCTGTTTGGTTTAAAACCGTACGTAATGGCCAACCGTTTTTATTAGTTTTATATCTGATACCATCTTATCTATTTAATTATAGGCCGACGACGCGCGTTTGTACCTTTCGCAAAAGGAAAGCTTACAGTGAAATCGGACTACAGTAGATAATTAATAGAAATATACTCAATCGTGGTCAAAAATAATAAGAAATAAATAAAAAAAATCCCCAGTCTTATCCTAGTAATCTACCAGGCTCGTATATAATTATTTTGAGGAGGTTTTGTAAGCTTTCAAATAATGGGGAAACCATATCCTGAAGTTCTCAACAGCGATATAGCATATGAATTTATATATTATACAAACATTAGTTTGTCGAAATCCACTTCCTTTTTATTTGTTCAAGTAATGGAGTGGGCGGCACTATTATATCCCCTTAAACTACGCAAACTGTAATGCTATTTTCTCAAAAACTGTGGATACAATTTTCAAATTTTCCAAAAACATTACTTAAGCATCCCTACATAGGCCTATATACACGACATATTGGCACACGCCCTGTGAAGGACTTTATTTCTAATTTTTATTTATAATTTTTTAGTCCTTTTTTTGTATGGGCTTATTCTGACGCTTGCCCACTGTTAAGCGATTTTCTCAAAAACATAAGTAGTTTGAATTTTCGTTTTTTTTTAATATTTTTGCATTTAAAGATTACGATTAGGTCCCTAAATAACATTAGTACTTAAATTTCATGTTACAAAAATTCACTAATTTGACGCACATCAACAAATATATTGTTTGCGATACTATCGATACATGGCTTATTTCAAGGGTCACGACGCGGTCACACTGGCGGAATTAAAAAAAATAATTTAATTAAACTAAAGGCACCCTTGGGACAGCTGCAAACGGCCATCGTTGGAGACATGGAAGCGGAGCACCTGAAACGACTGGAGGCCAAGGAGGCGAACCACATCCCCGCCATCCTGGGCGAGTTCAACACGAAGGTGAGATCTGCGCTGGTAATATCTCTGCGATTCCTTGAGACTAACCCTCCTCCTTTCCCCTGGCAGCACGCGGATCTGCTGATCTTTGACAGCTTCCGCACGGACAACCAGTGGCACGAGCTGTGGCTGGCCATCTTTGGCATCCTCGATGACCAGCGGCTGAGTCACCTGCACCCGCAGTGCCTGAACACGGTGAGGATTCTCACGCGCGACGAGTTCAGCCTGCAGACGAACTACATCGAACAGGAAGTGAACACACTGCTGAGGCTGGCCAGGATCGAGGCCAGTTCCCTGAAACTGCCTGCCACGCCCGACGAGCTAAAGCAGCAGGAGCGCGAGGAGCCCCAGCTGGAGCCCAGCCAGGCCCAATCGGAGGTGATTGCCGAGGCGCTGAAGTGCCTGTGCAATCTGGTCTACCAAAACTCCGACTGCCGGCGCCAGTGTCTGCGTCAGCACTGCCTGGACGCAATCCTCAAGCGGGTGGCCTCCTCGATGCGTCATCCCTGCGCCCTGGAGTACTACGACATGAAGCTGCTCTTCCTGCTCACCGCCCTGGAGCCGGCGGCTCGGACCCGCCTTCAGATCGACCTGAACGGCCTCACCTACATGACCAAGTGGCTGGATGACAAACTGGGCGAGGATTCCGCTGACGAGGAGCAGCTAAACATTATCTGCGAGCTGCTCAAGGTGATGTTCAACGTGACCAGTGCTCCGGACAAAAGTCCTAATGAGTATGAGATCCAGAGCTTGCATTTGACGGGAGTGCTGAGGGAGCTGCTCCTTCGTTTTGGCGACATGGCCACGGATAAGGAGCGTGCCGTGGTCACACATGCCATCAATTTGCTGACCAACATTTCGGGCAGCTGCCTAACCGAACTCACCCTGCGCTGCTCCAATGCAGAAGTGGAGTCCCTCAAGGAAAGGGAGCAGGAGAAGGAGGAGGAGAAAGGAGAGGACAAGGAATCGGGGGCCAGGGCCAAGCCGCTCCAGTGCTGCTCCCAGTGCTTCGAGAAACGCAATGTCCATAGTCTGGTCGTGCTGCTTCGCTATTTACGGCAGTCTCTGACCCAGCAGGAGGCCGAGGCCAGCTCGCATGAGCTGCTCTTGCCGGTGCTCACTGTACTGGTGAAATGTGCCCGCAGCGATCGGGTTATGCGTCACTATCTGCGGCAGGAGATCCTGCCGCCGCTGCGGGACGTGAGCCAGCGGCCGGAGATTGGCAAGGAGCTGCGCAATCATCTGTGCCGGTTCCTCACATTGCCCGCCATGATCCTGCGGGATTTGGCCGCCGAGTTGCTCTTTGTTCTGTGCAAAGAGGATGTCGGACGAATGATCAAGTATACGGGCTATGGAAACGCAGCCGGACTGTTCGCCAACCGAGGCATCCTCGACTGCCGGCGGGTGGAGTCCGCCGACTACTCTTCCGACAGCGAGGACAGCGACACCGAGGAGTACAAGCAGCAGCAGCAGGGCATCAATCCTGTCCTGGGCTGTGTGGAGCCGCGGGGCAAGCCAAACCCGCTGGACGAGATGAGCGAGGAGCAGAAGGAGTACGAGGCCCTGCAGCTGGTCAATCTCATTGAGCAGTTGCGTCAGGGCGGGATCGTCAAGCCGGCGCTGATTGATAAGGATGGGCGACCGCAGCCGCTGGAGCACATCCTCCAGCTGCAGGAGGAGCTGCCGCAACAGCAGCTCGACCAGAAGCGGAAAACCTAAGCCTCAAATCTATCCCGGGGTCTGCTATGGCACAACTTCCAAGAAGCTACCAAATAATCACCCCGAACTCTGCATTTATTTCATAGGTTTACTACCGAAAGTAGCTTTGAATGTGTTCCAAAAGCAGAATAGCTTGGCATTGTTATTGTAATCCTGTCTTTAAAAGTTAGGTTATCATTATTATTTTATAACACTGCTATCGAAAGCATCTCATTATAATTCTACAAGCTGTTTTCAGGACAGTGTGAAAAGTATCTACATATTTAATTAACAGTTTTCTTGTAGCCAAACTATTATTGATTTCACATAAGTGTTAGCTGTAATCACTATAATCTACCATATTAGGCTCAATTTGTAGAGTTACTATTTCCAAAATTTTTATAAATTATTTAGCTTTGAGTATTACTTTGTACTTTTGTATTGTTATCCCATTTTGTTGCCCTTTCGTTTTGCCTGTGATTTGTTTGGAAATTCGGAGCTGTCACCATAGCATCCCATTCCAGATAAAGTGTGTACTAAAATGACTAAATGCGATGACTAAATGCAAAACAATCGTTGTGGTCTTCCAATTCAAGGAAGTGGGGAGCAGATCAACACAAACGAAACGAAACCAAAACTGAATTCTTTTATATATACACACACGATCGCGCATTGATTGGCAGATAGACAAATTCGACTTATCTTTGTAATAACTAAGTGCATACACGAGTATTTATAAAAATTCCATTTATACACTTGGGGTCTAGATATGGGCTAAAAAATCAAATCTCCTATGCAGATTTCCAAAACTGGGAATTGGATGAGGAATACCCATTTCCCTCCCAGATCTTAAAATATAAATATTGTATGTGCGTAGCTTTAACTGTAACTCTAGAATCTAACTAAACTAATTACAAAGTCTATCCATGACAGACGCAAGTGAGGTCTACTTGAAATCCATTTCCAAATGGATTTCGGTTTGGTTACAACCCATCCTCACATTGTTTATATCCAAACCTAACTCTATGTTGTAAATTCCGTGTGATGGGGTAAAGGAATGATTCCAAAACTGTTTAAAAGTCACGTGTCTTTTTATCTATATACAGGAAATCCTATATAGAGCTTTATTGTGTTCAATTTGCTATAGCGATAGAAGACGTACTTTATACATACATCAAAACATAGAAATATTTGTTGCCGTTGATGTGTGTGCAAATCTTTATGTGCGTCTATCCTAAGCTTAATAATAAATCAATCAAAGTCTTGCTAAATCAATCGAACTACCTATTTTCATATCCATCAGGGTCAATGTTTCGAAAATGCATTCTGCATAATGCTAAAGAAGATATCCCTTACCGAGGATCAATCTAATTTACTAAACTGTTGCAACCAGTAAACGAACCCCTTAAATGGAACATAACTACCCCCAACGTTTTAATATTCTTACTGATCTATTATACAAAACGTGGATCCTTAAAGATACATTATTTTCCTATAAAAAAAATGAATCTTAAAATGTATTTTACATTTTTTAAAATGTATTTTAAGATTAAGATAATACAAGAAAGATTAATGAATGGTATTGTAAAAAAAAAAGATTATAACTAATCTATAACCTATTGAATCTGTTGAAGGAAATCAATAATCCTATGAATTTAAAGAGGCACTGCACTTTTCATTTAAAAAAATATCGAAAGATCCTCAAGAAAATCGAACATGTTCCGGATACTATTCCTAAAACTCAGTACTGATCTATGGTCCTATAACGAAATCCCCAATAATTGACTAATGCATATTCGTATATATTGAACCAAAAACTCAGGATAAGGACTCATTTGACTCCCTGAAAGAAGTGTGCCTCCTGGATGTCGTTCTGGCGCAGTCGCATGTGATCGTACCGCGGTCCACCGGCCTCCTGGTGGTGATGGTGGCGGTGCACCTTGTGGTGGAGTCCCAAGGCGTCGTGCTGCTTCTGGCAGGCCCGCAGCTGGGCCTCCAGGCGCTCGTGGAGTCGCCGGGGCTCGTCCAGCAGTCGGCCGGCCGGATGGTTGGGGAAGTACTTGGCATACTGGTGGTGCGGGTAGTCGCGGTCCAGGGATATTTCCGATTCGGAGTCGGGACTCCCGCTGGCCACCTCCGGCGACGAGGTCGATGGTGAGGGTGAAGGAGAGGGCGACGATCCACTGGCCACCTGGGCAAAGGACTGATAGCTCCTGGCCTTGTAGACGCTGGCCAGATCGTACTCATTGGTCTCGTCGCGGGCGAGGAACTCCTGCAGTTGGAGCTGCTTCTGCTTGCGCTGCTCCATGCGGAAGAGCTCGTACGACTGCGATCCCGGATCGCCGCTGCCCTCCGGCAAGGGTTTGCCATCCTCCTCGTGCTCCTCTGGCTGCAGCTTCTCGAAGTGGTAGCGCAACTTCCGATGGCCGAGCACGTCCTGGTTGTCCCTCACGAAGTTCACCAGCTGCCGCTTGCACTTGTCCATCTCGGCCTCCAGGTAGCTGATCCTCGTGCGATAGCATCCGCCGGTGGTCGACGGAGCCATGTGTTGAATGCGTCCCGGGGTGTAGAAGACCTCCGAGTCCGAATCCGGGTCCTCCTCCTGCTCCTGTTGCTCCACCTCCGCCTCAACCCTCTTCTTTAGGGTGAACTTCTTCACCTTCCGGCTGATTTGATTGAAGGCCTTGGCTGCCGCCTCCTGGGCGGCCATCTCCTCCAGCTGCTCGCGCTCCATCATCATCAGTCGCAGATTCTCGGCCATGCGCCTCTGCTGGTTATCCTTGCGCTCCTCCTCCTGCTCCTCCTGCAGGAGCAGCTTCTCCTTCTGCTCCTGCACCTCCTGCTTGCGTCGCTGCATCCTCTCTTCGGGTGTGGAACCCTTGTCCTTCCCCTGGACCTTGTCCTTCTGCTTGGATTTATTTTCCTGACTCGCGCGGAGCAGGGATCGAGTCCTTAGAATGCGCGCAGCATCCTTGGACTGGGACCGGGCATTGGGGTCCGTGGAACAGGGCGAGAGTCTGGGCATCTGGGTCTGGAGGAGAGCCTGCACCTGGGCCTCCGCCTCCGCATGGAACCTGGTCTGGGCCTGGGCCTGCGATTGCCAGTGGGCGTTCTTCTTCCTCGGAGCGGTGGCCGCCACGGCAGCCAGTTCCCGGCGGAGTGCCATATGGGTCTGCCGTGATATGGCCAATGCCCTTTCGTCGGCTGCCGAAATTTGTCCTAATTTTCCTTGGGTTGCAGGTTGTTGAGCCACCTGCTGTTTCTGTTCCATCCGCCGGGGGGCATCCTTGGATCGATGCCGATGCTTCTGCAAGGACGAGGAGGCTGGAGTCACTTGCGACTGCGACTGCGTCTGAGCCCTCGCCTGATGGGCGATCCTCTTCTGCTGCTGCTCCACCCAGGTTAGGGTGCTCCGGTGCAGGGTGTTCAGCTCCAAGGGGTGCAGCTCCTTCTTCTTGACCACCTGGCTCGACTGGTTGGCACTCAACGTCCTGGGGGAGGGATTAGGATGAGTTGAACAGGTGATTCTCCTGGCAGGGTAGGTTCTATCATATCATATATTAGGTGTTCGGTTGGGTTGGGTACAGTGTGGTGGCAAATGAGAAGCTAATTTAGTAATTTTGTAAATGTCCTGATTATTAAAAAAAAAAAAAAAAAAAACTTATTCAGCTATTTCGGTTTTTTGGATATAGTGTGATGACCTTAATGATTTTAAACTACAAGATCATTATGTAGGAGCTGATTATACAAATATAAATGTTGTGTAGGGTATTTTATGCCTTTTATCTTATAAACTGAATATCATAGTACTCTTCTTAAGCTAAATTCATCATTTCGCCTTGTTATTATGTTTAAATCGTTTTACCTTATAAACTTAATGAGAGGGCAAGTACTATTTTTGATGATGAGTACAGGTTTATCTAACACTTTCTATAATAATAGAAAATGTAACTTAAGCACTTAAATTGTAAAGATTATTAGACTAGTGGTTCGGTCTTAACAGAGCTATATATTTCTATGGGCTTCGTGTCAGAATGGTAGGTATTTGGAAAGCTTGGACTCCTATTGGCTCTGTCGCTGATTGAGGTGTCTAGGATGCGGCTGTCGGTGCCGGGAACGATGCAGTCGCTCCTTGAATGGGGCCTGCACCGCAGTGGACTCCGTGGAATCCTGGCGCTCCTTGGAGGCGTCATGCTGTCGGGGATTGGATGTGGGGCCCATTGCAGTGGAGGTGGCGCGCCTGTGCTAGGGACGACGGTACCTGGAAAGGGGGACGAGCAGCTAGAGAAGCTCCACCAGCCCTCCCCAAACGACACCTAGTCCCAACCCAGCCCCAAGATCCCGGCGCAACTCACCTGGTCCGCGACACAGAGCGCAGGGGCTTCGTCGAGATCTCCCGATTGCTGGAGGGTGTGTCATTGCTGACCGTCCTGGCACTGCTCCGCGACTCCAGACCAATCATGTCGTACAGGTTGTTGCGGTACTGGTCCACCCCGTACCGCACGTCGTCCTTCAGCGGCGGATGGATGTCCACGCGCAGCTCCATGTCCGCGGAGGCGGTCCGGAAGCGGCTCACATACGGATGCCGGATGGCCGCCTTGGCCGTGAGCCTCCCGTGCGGATCAAGTACCAGGAGGGACTTCACCAGCGAAATGGCGTCGTCGCAGCAGTTCCGCAGCATCTCGTCCAGCGAATGGCGACGGTCGCGATGGATCTTCTTGCTCAGCAGGACACTCCCGAAACTGGCTCCGATCGACTCAATGTCCCGCTGGGTCACATCCGGCAGGGCCGTCACGATTTTCTCTATCTGAAAATGAGTTCATTTCATTTAAGACCAGATAACAGAGTTTCAAACATTTAAATGCGATACTAAGGTCATCATAGTCTCATCATAGTCTCCAAGAACGAATCCTACCTGATTGACAGTGCTGGTGCCTTGGAAGAGGGGTTTCTGTCTTATCATCTCGCCCAGGATGCAGCCCAGACCCCACATATCGATGCCCTTGGTATATCTGGAAAAATAGAAAGCCAATAAAATCTATAGTCGATTATGATAATCAAATAGTTTAAAAATCTCTAAGCTCTATACTAATGATTGAATGTAATGTTAAATTATGTTAATGTAATGTTCATATTTAAAAAGAATATTGTGTTTACTTTTAATCAAATTGCTGTTAGGTCGGAAATATTGGTACTTACTTGCGACTGGCCACCAGTATTTCGGGGGCACGATACCAACGCGTGGCCACATAATCCGTCAGCATGGCCTCGTTCTCCAGTTCATCATAGTCGGATTTCCGCTTCATGGAGAGTGTTCGAGCCAGGCCAAAGTCGGCCACTTTGAGTCTTATAAAAGTAAATTGGGAACAAATATTAAATGAAATGATAAATATTTGGAAAGAGAAAGTTACTACCACAGCTAAAACTTTTTGTTTTTAATGTGAAGGATACAAAAATGAACGAACTAGGGAATTGTAGTCTAATATTATATCTTTAAGAATCAAGGTTGATGTTATTGGTTCTCCATTTGGCGCTTTTTAGATGAGACATCAACTCACCTGCATTTGCTGTCGATCAGAATGTTGCTGGGCTTCAGGTCCCTGTGGATGACATTGCCCGAGTGCATGTATTTAATGGCATTAATTAACTGGTACATGACAAATCGCTTGTGAATGTCCTTGAGGACATCGCCCTTCTTTATAACGTTGTGCAGGTCGCTTTCCATGAACTCGAAAACCAAATAAAAATCCAAATTGTTGCCAGCCCTGCGCAGAGAAAATGGAAAACATGAATGCCAAGGATACGGATACGATAGGCTTGTGATTGACCCACTTGAACACATCCATCAGCCGGATAATGTTGGGATGGTGGCGAAAGGCACGCAGGAATATCACCTCGCGGTAGGTGCGCTGGGCATCGGTTTCATCCCGGAACGCATCGAAGATCTTCTTCAGGGCCACCGTGTCCTTGTGCCTCTTGTCAGTGGCCTTCCAAACGATGCCATAAGCACCCTTGCCCAAGCGCTGAAAAATGTGTGTGTATTGAAAAACAACATATAACTCATTTAATACCCTTGATAGTACAACTTAAATACATTTTTTATATGGGAAAAAGTAAACGTTAATAGGTAATTCATTCTAAAGAGTAAACCTTGAAGATGATTAAACGTGGTCTTTGTATAGGTCTAATGTAAGGCCTGCTTAAAGGCGTGTGGGGTAAAACCGACCTGTGTTTCGAAGTGAAATTTATCTTATAGTTGAAGATGTATAGATGAAGATGTTTTGGTTGACTCTTTGATTACGGAAAAATAAATTTATATTACAGCAAATTTTTTGAATTATAAGACTTACAGTTTCCTTTTAAACTTAGTTGTAATTAATTTGTAGCTCATAAAAGTAACTACTTTAAAATGAGAAGCTTAAAGAAATTTTGGACTCACCTTTCGGACATCGAAGATGCGCTCCACATTTTGGTCCAGCTCGTGGATGCGTCGCTCGTGGGCGAGAATGTTGCTTTGGTTGGCCATTGGTCTCTCGATCTCCTCCTTGTCCTTGACTCGCTCTCTCTCCTTCTCTTTATCCTTCTCCCTGAGCTTATCCTTTTCGCTCTCCTTGTCCCGGTTGTGCGGCCTGTCCTTGGGATGCTGCGTCTTTACCGGCAGCTTCGAGGTGCCGATGAATCCGAGACGGGATTGTAGTTGGCACTGGAGTTGGCTCCAGTTGGGAGAGACCGAAGGATGCGATTCGAGCATCACCAGCTTCCCGCACTGGCGCCAATCCGCACCGGGGCTGCCTCACTGTGGAGATGGAAACGGAGATGGAGTTGGAGTTATGTGTGTAGTCAGCTATAACTGGCATCCACTGTAGCTGCTGCTGTTGCGCGTGGCAGTAACGCCCGAGTGGTTTTGCGGCTCCAACTGGAGCATCTGGTGGGGCCCTCGTCCTCGCGTGCTCGCTCCCATATGCAAACGGCATCAAGTATGTAGAATAAAATTAAACGCCAACAAAAACAAAGCGAAACTCCACAGGGAAAAAAAACAATAGTAAGCAAGCAAGTCCATATTTTAAGAAAAATTAACTAATCATTTTTTGTCCATTTTTTACCCAGAATATGTCACAACACTCATTTCAATCAATAATATATTTTAAATATATCATTTATAAGATATTTATAACAAAAATCAAATCTATGCTATATAGGAAAATTCATTTAAAATTATATAAGAATTGCTTATACTAAAACATTTTTCATTATTCAATTGAAGGTAGATTCAAATTTATAATGTTCGCATGGACTATAAAGACAAAGTCCGAAGTTATTAATAAAATTGTGGGTGCAATTGAATGGTAACTTTGCTGCAATGGTCATTGTTTTCTCTCTCTGTATGCAAATGCACCGGAAACGGAACAACGGCCATAACGGGAGCACAAATAAAAAGCTAGAAAAAAAAATAACACGAATAAATAAATCGCGGGGCGAACCTGATTGAAACCGAATTATTGTTAGATCGATCGGGGAGAAGGCGAAAGCGAAAACGAGAGCCCCAATTGGATGGCCTGGCTATGCCTACAGTATGTCTACAGTGGACCCTCAAGTGCCCAGGGCAACGTCACGTAACGGTTCCCGTTGCCACGGGACCCGCTCGCTACAGTGACCAGTCAGTATTATTGATCTTATCTGTGTTAATTAAGGATAATAGCTGAACAAACAAATTTACTTTGTTGTGTCGGAAAAATGCCTTAATGAAATTATAATACGCGGTTGCAAGGCCATAAAAAATGACAAAAAGTCGACCAAAAATTACTAACCAAGTTTTGGATACAGATTTTTAGGGAATTAAACCACGAGTTTTTAGAGGTATAACACTTCAAAATCGGATGTCTGTGAGAAAAGTTATGGGCTTAGAAGTGCCTTTTATTGGTACTTTTCAGCAAACCCATTTTTCGAAAATTTGGAAAGGGGTAACACCATTAAAAATGATGAAAAATCGGCAAAAAAAAAAATTTTAAGTAGGGACGCAGATTTTTATATAATTAAACCACGATCATTTTGAGGTATGCCACTTTGAAATCGGATGTCTGTAAGAAAAGTTATGAGCATAGAAGTGCAGTTTTTTGGCACTTTTCTGCAAACCAATTTTTCGAAAATTTGGAAAGGGGTAACACCATTAAAAATAAGAAAATATTGGCCACAAAAAAAAAATTTAAGTGGGGATGCAGATTTTTATAGAATTAAACCACGATCATTTTGAGGTATGCCACTTTGAAATCGGATGTCTGTAAGAAAAGTTATGAGCATAGAAGTGCAGTTTTTTGGCACTTTTCCGCAAACCCATTTTTCGCAAATTTGGAAAGGTGTTACCCCTTTAAAAATGATGAAAAATCGGCAAAAAAAAAAATTTTTAAGTAGGGACGTAGATTTTTATATAATTAAACCACGATCATTTTGAGGTATGCCACTTTGAAATCGGATGTCTGTAGAAAAAGTTATGAGCTTAGAAGTGCCGTTTTTTGGCACTTTTCTGCAAACCCATTTTTCGAAAATTAAAAATAAGGAAATATTGGCCACAAAAAAAAAATTTAAGTGGGGACGCAGATTTTTATAGAATTAAACCACGATCATTTTGAAATATGATCACAGATTTTTATATAATTAAACCACGATCATTTTAAGGTATGCCACTTCAAAATCGGATGTCTGTGAGAAAAGTTATGAGCTGAGAAGTGCAGTTTTTTGGCACTTTTCTGCAAACCCATTTTTCGAAAATTTGGAAAGGGGTAACACCATTAAAAATAAGAAAATATTGGCCACAAAAACAAAATTTAAGTGGGGACGCATATTTTTATAGAGTATATACGAGTTTTTAGAGGTATAACACTTCAAAATCGGATGTCTGTGAGAAAAGTTATGGGCTTAGAAGTGCCTTTTATTGGTACTTTTCAGCAAACCCATTTTTCGAAAATTTGGAAAGGGGTTACATCATTAAAAATGACGAAAAAGCGACAAAAAAAAAAAAAATAAAGTAAAAATACAGATGTTTAGAGAATTGAACCACGATCATTTTGAAATATGCCGTTTTGAAATCGGATGTCTGCAGAAAAAGTTATGAGCCATTTATCGAAAATTTCCAATTTCACTTACGCCAAAGTTAATCATTAAGGTGCTTACTGTATTACTGTTACTTCATCTACTTCAGTCATTGTTGCTTTTATTGTTGTTGCTGCAAGAAACGCCGCAAAACAATCAAATGGAAATACACGGCATGCAATCTGGCAGAACGAAAATCAGCAACAAAACTTGGCAAATGAATTTGTTTAACAAATAAATAGGCACAAGTACACTCATATGGCAAAGGGCAAAACACAGGGCAACAAAATTGGAGCTTGAGTTTCATCTTAAATGAAATGTTACTGCGCTGAAAAGTAGGCATCTAAAAATGCAGGATCATGCGCTGGAAATGCAACCCTGCGTTGCCGCTGTGTGCGCAGGTGCAACTGGCTGACGTCACAAGTAAAAGAGTAACGGAAATAACATTAATCAGTTTTAAACAAAACCCCATACTATTTATAATACATTCCAGAACTTCAAGACTACAAGAAAGTTGGGGAAACAAATTATGTATGAACAAATGTATTTTCTTAATGTTAATGAAAGTTATAACTGTTTCCTTTGCAAAATAATTTCATATGTTGCGATTCCAAGATAAAAATGTTGGATACATACATATTATATATAAATATATAAAGTTTTAATTCCAGAAAACCCGCAATATTCCGCAAATCTACTTTCTGTTAGACAGTGTAAGCCCAAAACAACAGCCACAAAGGGCCGATTGAATTTGGCACAAAAGTTTTCAAGTGGAGCACGTCACTTACCCGAAAGAGGAGGCAGGATTTGAAGGATTCGTGGGATGGTGGCTAACTAGGAGTCGAGGAGCCCCGGCAACTTTATAGATGGATATGGTGTGATTGAAAGTCAACTGGCAATTTGCACAATATAAATACAAAATATATATAATAACGAACGCAACGCGAATCTCAAGATGGAACCAAAACTGTAAAGGATTAGGGTTTTCAGTTAAAAAGGCCAAATGGTTGGGTCAAACTTGGACAAACCTGTAGTTAATGTGGTGAGCTGTCCTCCAATTTCAGGACCTCGAAAATGGAACACAGAAAACGAAACGCGAAAAAGAAATGCCTCACGATAATCCTTCTATATTTGATCCAGTTTTGATTTCCAATTCTACCACTTGCTTGATCTCCTCTTTCTCTTTTAAGTTCTCCACAATAGTCCGGAAATAGTCCTGCAATTCTTTATAATTTACGTGGTTGCTGGTTGCGTTTTGATTCCGCTTTCGATGGCTTATTTTTGGGGAATTGGATTTCTAGGCCCACCTTCGATTAGGATATTTCCACCGATAAGGTTTCGGATCAGCTGCCGCGACTTGAAAATTTGAATGTTTCACTCGCGGGCCACGCACGTCTTAATTTGCACGGATTTGATTGGAATGGAATATATATATATATCGACATTGGTGGCTATATATACTCGGAATCGGGCGTGGACAAGTCCATATGTGGTGCAGATTGGACGATGGTAACGTATCCGTATCCAGCTCTAACCCTTCGGTTCCGATTTTACAAAACAAAAGAATCGAATTGAATACAAAAATGTGTGAGTGTTTTTATTTTGGAATCGGGTCGAGTGTGAAGTAGAAAAATTCCGGACTATAACTGACATCGACAGTTCGTCTGGCCCGTCAGCCACAAATCGCCACGACTACTTGGTCCTTCCGTTCCGACTCGTTCAAAATTTCGACTGCCCTTCTTCCCAATGTCCCGACATCCCTTCGATGTCCGGGTCCCTCCATTGCCGTTGTATCCAGTAGTTTCCATCGTTTTCGAGCTTCTGCCGTTTCCATTGGTTGCCCCCGCCTTCCAAAAACAGGTCCTGGTGGACCTTTGCATATCATTCACCCTAAACACGTGTTTTAGATACAAGCAATATAAGCTTCGGTAGAAGCAATGTCAAACTCTTTTCAAATATATAAAATATCTTATATTTATAAAATCTATATTACTTTCATTGGTTAAAAAAAAGAAGTCCAGGGTTCATACAAAATACGGTAGGTAGCACTATTAATGAAATAAGATTTACAAATTATGTTTTTAATTACTTTCCTAGTGTTAATATGTACATTTCTAATTTACACCTAAATACAATCTTAATCTAAATAATCAATCATAATCCAATTACAGCTAAAGAACATGTAACACAAAACAAATTAACTATGTTAGAAAATTAAATTGCGAACAAAAAATGTTTTCCTTATAAATTGATTAGTACAATACGAATATTCCAAGAAATCTTAAAATAAAATGAAACTAGAATACAGAACTTGAATAAAAGACTAGAACTTAAAACAAATTTGAATGATATCCTTAAGCGTGTTAGCCCAATCAACCCTTTTCCTTTTATGGGCAGGTTGCTATCAATAAATGCATATTTGATGCTTAGTTTTCAATAACAAACATGGGCGTACCCCCGATCCCGGCGCGTAGCAACCTCCTTCTTTCCGGGAATTTAACAGCCGGCGAATGTGTTATCCGGTTGCCCGGAGAGACGCGACACCAGGACTTTTTTATGTGTCTCCTGCGGAGTGGGGGTAGTGAAAAGATTCCTTGATTCTCGTACAAAAGGATTTCTTGCATGTCAGTTTATTGTTTGCTTTTACTATGGTTAGAGGAATGGAAATCTATGGCTTTCGCTGCAGGTAGATTAGTTGCTGTTGCTGTTGCACTTGGGCTTGCTGCTGTTGTTGCTGCTGCAGTAGCAATTGCTGTTGCTTCTCCTGGAACATTTGCTGCTGCGCCTGCATCTGTTGCTGGTGCGCCTGCCGGCGCTTCTGTTTCTCAAACTCTGCCAAATGTTCCTGCTGTTTGCGGACCAGCTCGTCCATCACCTCATGGTTGTAGGTGGAGTGCAGCATCAGGCCGAGTAGATTAGCGCGCGAGGTAAGCTGCTGCCGCAGCATGCGCTCTTGCTCCATCAGATCGTCCATCTTAAGCCATTGGCGCACTCGCTCTAAATCGATCTCCGCCCGCCGGATCTTCTCCCAGGCGTAGTGCTTAAAACAATTTTTCTTCGGCGCCCGGCAAAATTCGCCCGTGGGACTGAAGACATTGTTCACCAGGGGTGACCCACACACATCCGTGTCGCTCACCTTTGGATCCTTGCTGTGCTCGGGACACAGTACCCTTAATCTTTTACAGTACGTCTTACTTGCTGGGTTGTAGAAATCACAAAACATATTGTTGCCTTCCATGCGCGTTTGGAATATGCTCCCGAAGCTGGCCTGCGATTCGTATTTGTTGAAGCACTTTTCCATGTGCTTAATGGCCGTGCGCGAGTGAATCTCGTGGCCGCAGGTGATGCAGTACATGCTCTGCTCATCCTCCATGTCCGCGGTATCGTGTGGCCTCGTTGTATCGATGGAACTCCGCTTGGCCCGCTCCACCACCATGTTCAGCTCTTCGGAGCGCTTCTCCAGCTCGGCGAGGGCGAAACGCACCAGGGACTGCTTCTGCCGAATGCTCTCCAGCTGTTTGCGGGTCTCCTCAGCGGCGTGGCAGGGTGTAAGGTTCCACTCCTGCAAGCGCTGCGGCAGGACCTGGAAGTGCGAAGGGTAATGGTGGTTAATATGTCTTGCTAAGCTGTCCTAAATATGCGAACCTGGAAGATGCGATTGGTGGCTAGATTAAAGCCGCACTTGTCGCTGCAATACTTGCTCTGCGGCCTCGCCTGGCAGCAGCAGCTGGGTCCGTGGCACTGTCGTGTGCCCTCCAGCTCCGGATTGAGGTACACCTCGGGACTGACCGCCCGTATGCCCACCTTCGCTTTGCGATCCTTCGGGGCGGCCTTCTCCCGCTTCCGGGCCGCCTGACTCTGTGGCGCCTCCTTCGTGGTCGTCGCCTGGGCCACGCAGGTGCGGAATATACAGCGTGGCTTGTGGCCAACGCGGACACGGCAGGCATCGCACTGATTGCAATTGGGACGCCGGCATCCCTCGCAGGTGCCGCATCGTTTGCCCGTCTTCGGTTCCCGCGCATTGCTGTTCTTGCGCTTCAGCTGTGCCGTCGTTGGTGGCTGCGGGTGGGCCGTTGAGGGGGCTCCCGTCGCAGCACCAGGCGCTCCACCAGGTGGTCCCAAGCCCGGGGCATTTAGACTCGTGGAGGCGGCATTCGAGGCGGCTGCCCGTTCGGTAGCCACCAATCGAAAAATGGTCTGTAGCTCGGGATTCTCCTTTTTGCAGCGCCTGCAGTAGTACTGTTTGATGTGCTTAGCCTCCTTCTCAGTGATCCCGATGCAGTCGCCGTGGTACCACTCCTCACAGCCATCGCAGCCGCTGGCGGGAAGATAAATAAAGGGGTTAGTGAGTGGGAGTTCTAATGGGACTCCATTAAGGACTCACATCATGAACCTGTCGGAGTCGGAAGTGCGGCAGATGCAGTACGCCTGGTCCTCTTGCTTGAGTATGGTGGCTATCTTGGACTTGCGCTCCGGGAGATCGAACTCCCGTGCGATCTCCCGCCGGATTTCCTCTTTCTGCGTACAGAATCGTATTATAGCAATGGTAATGTAATAATGAAGAACTTACGCTTTTCTTATATTTCCGCTTGTCCGCCATGCCGCACCGATCTCTCCTAGAATTCAAGTCCGCGAATCCACCAGGTCCATAAAAAAATAAACTATTTAAAAATGGTGATGGCACTTTAGGAGAATATCGATAAGGGTTATCGAAAAAATGTTGTTTTTAGTAATAAAAATAAATAATATATAAAAAAAACAAATTGTAAGTTTTAAAAACATTTATAATAATAAGTTATAAGTTATAGACAATAACAAAAAGGGTTTTTTTTTAAACTAATGCATATGGAAACAAGTTTAGACTTATTTTGCTGGTTGTTTATTTGTTATTTATTGGAAATACTTTTAGAAATAGCAAAAACAGTTGACAAAGTTGCTCGAAATAAAATTAAAGGATAGGATATTTTGAAAAAGGTTCTTAAAATATATATAAAAATAGCTCCATAAAGGTTATGTTAATATTTTAAATTATCGTTATTTACATTAACAGAGGCAAATAAGCAAACATCGATAGTCGTAAAAAATATCGATGCTAACGAGACAATAAAGGTCATCGATATTAATCACCGCGCGTTTTGCTTGCCGCATTTTTTGCTAGCATTTTCTTTATTGAATGTAAATAATACGATCCGGATTCCGGAATAATGGCGGCCCTCAGCAATCTGAAGCAGTGTCCGCCGTTTTCCACGCTGCCGGACCTGGCACTCCGGCACAATCACATTCCGGAGCTGGAGCGCTATCCGCAGATAAACCTGAACAGCGAACTCTTGGCCAATCCGGCGGGCCAGAGATTCTACGGCGGCCAGAGCTTTGTGCCCGTGGACGAGAGCGTTCTGAAGCGGATCACGCGCACCTTCTTCGATGGCGGTTTCTGGGAGTCGCTGGAGGAGGCGAGGAGCCCCAAAAGCCGGGAGCAGGCTCCACTGATTGCCCAGGCGGGCGATTTGATTGCTAGGCTTTTGGGCCTCGCCACCGGATTGAAGCTAAGGATCTTTCCGCACACCCAGGAGCTCAGTGCGGAGCGGATAGCGCAGTTCGTGGAGACCAGGTGGGTTTCAAATCGCAGCCAAAAAAACGAGAGACCAATAGTGACTAGATCCTTCTTTCCGATTCTTCCAGGGATTGGCTAAATAGCGACGTGAGATTCCTCGCCTGGAACTGTCACTTCTTCAACCTGGCCGTTGCCGGTGTGGACGATGTGGTGCGCATCTATTATAAGAATTCCAACGCCGCCACAGCTACTGTTTTGAAGGTAGGTTCACCGTAAGGTTATTTATATTAGACCATTCAATGTATGCTAATTTATAAACTCTTTCTTTTTAGAGCCCCACGCAAACGCAGATCACCTGCATGGCCTGGCGTCCGCTCTGCTCCACGGAGATTGTGATTGGTTGTCGGCAGGGTCTTTGTTTCTGGGAAGTGGACAACAGCCTGCACCTGGGACGAACCAATGCGCCCAGCAAGGTTTTCAAACAGTTCGTATAGCTAGTTTTATGTTAATTATGTATATATTTACCCTGTTCATATTTTAGTCCCGCCAATCTGCCAGTTACCTCGCTGCAATGGAACAAGGATGGAACCCAGCTGGCCACCGCCTCCATTGGAGATCGCTCTATCATCATCTGGCAGCCCGACAACGGATTGATGCAGCCGCTCAAGCGTCTGGGTCCGCCGGGATCGCTGCTCAAGTGGTCGCCGGATAACGACTGGCTTTTTGCGGCCACCGTGGATCGGGTGTTCCGCGTGTGGAACTGCAACCAGCAGTGGACCACCGAGCGATGGGTGTGCGGCCCCGGAGGCCATGTGCAGACAGCCTGTTGGTCGCCCTGCGGCCGCTTCTTGCTCTTCGTTAGCAGCACCGAGCCGATCCTCTACCGCCTGCAGTTCGTGCAGCAGAGTCTGCTGTCGTGTAAGTATCGAAGTTGAATTTACGAGTGGTGTAGCCCAGGGCAGTCTGTTCCCAGTGTCTGTCCTTAAGTTGTTGGCAGATACAAGGGTGCGATCTGAGACTGCCCCAGATAAAAGCTGTCAGGAACAGGTTGGCGGCTGCTACAGCTTCCAGACCGCCTGTATAATGCTGACTACAATGGCTTTAACCTATTTGATTAAATTTAAGTTATGTAGAGTAATTTTCCTTGACCAATTGAACAAAAGTAAGCACGAACTTTAAAAAATGAAAACAAATAAACGATTTATATTAATTAAAGCCCTTCTCTGCCTCTCTCTTTTTTTTTAGCTTCAGCAGATGAGAAGGAAATCCTGCCCATTGCCGATCTGAATGCCTGCAGCATCGATGCGAATCGCACGCTCATCGGTGGCCCCGCTCAGCAGTTGGCATGGGATCCGCACGGCAACTACCTGGTGATCACTTTCAAGTCAACCAACTGCATCGCTGTTTTCCGCACCTTCATCCAGAAGTTCGATCTGCAAATCTCGGCTGCTTATTATCTGAGTGGGGAAACGGCGGCGGAGCATCCCAGCTTTATTTGCTTCCAGCCCCTTTACAAGGATAACGATCGTTCCGTGTTGACGATTGCCTGGTCGTCCGGTCGTATCCAATACTACGCCTTCGACTGATCTTTAAGCTTAGTGGGTTTTCATTGTAATATTTTATTTGATTTGGTTTTTGTAAGCGTTAATACACAGATAAACAGGATAGCCTTGTTTTGGAATCCATCAATGGTGGTGGATTGAGTTAAATCCAAAGGTATGAGGATGTGGGGCACAAAATATATTTTAAATGTGGTAGGTAATTGACTTATTAAAATGAACAAATTGTTAAACATCTCTCTTACCACACCGCCATAATCCTCTCTTTGCTTTTCCACATTCGATTGAACTGTACAAAGCGTTTTACACCTTTAAGGTTGTTGAATCATTTCAAGAACATTTCCTAATAGTGTAATTTATTATCTTAAAATTGGTCCAACAATCGGTTGTAAGTTTTGTAAACTTTTAATTAAAATATCTGATTAAATTTGTATGGATTTATAAATATATTAGTTCCTCCATGGAATACAATCAAATTTTAGGCAAAAGAACTAGCAAAATCACATATTTTCTGTGGAATCATAGTTTTTTTAAACTTTAATAAACCTCAAAAAGCCGAGGTAATTTTGAATAGACTCAGTACATTGAGAAGTGATTATTGTCCGTAACTAAGTCTTCTATAGAATACGATTTCTTATCACTCACAACTGTCTTAAAGCTGCAAAACGCTCCGCACAAACTTGAATATTAATATATAATTAATGGTATGTGTATATATATATATAGAATAGTATATAACGTGACTTTCGATTACATAACAAAACAAAGAGTTAAATATCAAACATAATATGGGGAACGATTGCTGAGGCAACGGGATCACACTTGGAGCAAATACTAAGTCATAATTTACAAACACACAATATAGTCGGACATATAGTTAATCGAGTTGGTCCCCATGATGTTGTCCTAGACGTCGCCATAGAAGTATCCCAGGGCGGTTGCCGCCTTCACCCGCACCAGCGCCTGTTCGTCCTTGAGAAGCACGGCGATCTTGCTGGCTACAGTCTCCGTCTGCACGTTTCGTTCGCTGAGAAAGTTGTGCAGGATGCCTGAGGGCGAAGATTGGTAATGATATGTTATAGGCACTGTTGGAGATTAGGAAATATTACCAATCACAATGGCCGCACTGCCACGCACCTCCGGCCACTGGCTACGCAGCTGCGGCAGGCACGATTCAATGAAATCCTGAATGTGTTCGGTTAGCTCCAGTGCCTGAAACGAAGTATAAGTGTATACGTTATCAAACTGTAACTTGTGTAACTGGAAAGGTATATAACTTACAATCAACTTGACGAATTCCAGCACAAAGCTGCTGTAGTTGAGCTGGTGACCCCGTTCCTCGCCCAACTGTTGTTGGGCCATCTCCACGACTTTTGGAGCGGGCAGGAGGCGGCAAACCCGCTGCAGGGTTCCCCGGCAGGCTGCCACAATGGCCGCTTCGCTTTCGCTGAGATGAAGGAGCAGCGGGAAGAGATTAGCGATGAGCTGCTCCCTCAGCGCCTCCATCGAGGAATTGGGTGAACTGCTGCCATCGTCGTGCTTGCCCTCGCATATGTCGCCAAACAATTGGATCGCGGCCTCGCGCATCTCCAGCGCATAGTTTCCGAGGAACGGACGAATGCGTATTGCCAGGGAGACATGGAAGGACTCTACCCGCTCGCTGGGCAGCGCTCGCAGGATCCCGGACAGGCCGCGCATGCTCTCCAGCGGAATGTTGATCAGACAGTCGCCCACCGGATCGTCGACACCTTTAAGTAATGCTCCAATGGCTGTCTCCGAATAACGCTTCGCTTCCTTTTCCCCCAATTGGCCCACGTAACCCATGCCCTGGATGCTGAGACCCCGCACTACCGCATTGGGATCGGATAGTGCTGCTCCCAGGTGGAGTAATATGGACGCAGCTAGCTCACCGGTGGGTTTCAGTGGCACCAAGCGGGAGAAGAGGCCCACAGCGGCCACCCTTTGGCCGTCGTGCGGAGAAGCCACATACTTGCTCAGCGAGTTGACCAGCTGCCTCATCTGCGGACTCCCCAGCTGCAGCTGCTGACCCAATCCAATGGCCATGGGGGTCAGCAGTTCGATGTAATTGTGCCAATCCGCGCTGCTCGCCAGTTTGGTGTTCACAGTCAGTACGCTGGCAATCTGCTCCATTTCCAGATTGGTTAAAAAGGCCTGGCATGGAAAAAATTATAGCAAAGGATTAGTGTGGATTCTCAAGAATATTGCCAAGTAAAACCCACCTGAAACGTTTCCAGCGCTATTTGGCAGGGATTAAGCTTGACCAGCTCCTTGTTCGGCACGAAGCCGAACTTGGTTTTGCCCGACTGCGTCTGATTGGGGCTTATTGAGGCGTTCACCGGATTCGGAGCAGCCAAATTGGTGTAGCTGCTGAGGGAAGTCAGCAGCATGCAGAACATGTCCGCAAAGCGGGTCTCCAGTTGCTATAAACAGAAACGAATTGGTATAAATTGACCCAAGGGAATCTTTCCAGCACTCACCCCCTTGATGTCCTTGCAGGGCAGCATCTCGTGCAGGGCGCAGAAAATAGCAAACGGCTGACCGCTGGCCAGTTTTTGACGCTCGGATAAGGCTGCCTCCTGACCACCTTCCTGCAGAGAGGCCCCGCTCAGCAGCTGCAGGAAGTTGTCCAATGTAAGGCCCGTCAGCTCGGGATCGTTGCAGACCAGGTGCCAGTACTCCACAAGATTGGAGTCATACGGCAGCGGCTGGGCCAGCATTTCGGCGCAAACCAACTTGGGATGGTGCTTGGTGAGGGCCACCAGAGCTTTGAGCACTCCGGACTTGGCCCTGGGCACCTCGCACACCTGCAGGGCCAGCAAACTGTCGCGCACCAGGTCGGGGATCGCATGGAATAGCTCTGAACCCTTCTGCTGGATGAAGAACTTCAGCACAACACTGGCACCGATGGTGGAACTCTGCTCGGGATCACGCAGCGATTGGAGCAGGGTTTTGCTTTAATAAAAGACATGCAGATTATAACGATTCCCACATGAGTGGGAAATATATGATCCTCACCAGAACTGCAGGTACTGGAAGCTGGAGATGCGCAGCGCAATGATCTTGGCAATGTCGCCGGCAAGGTTGTATATCTGCTTGGGCTCATCGGTGATGATGTGCTCCTTGATGGCCTCGATCTCCTTCAGCCAGTCGGCAGTGCTATCAATGCTGGCTATCGTCAGCGTCTCGTAGATGCACGCAATCTCCAGCGTCTTCTGCAGGATCTCCACGGACACCTGACGCACCGTGCCGTTCGAGTCGATGCACCTGGGCACAATCTTGCCCAGCATCTGACCCGTCTGATTGAACTTCGATGGGGCTTCGCAGCCAATTTTCATCGCCTTGATGTATACCTCCAAAGTGTTGTTAAAGACGTGGCTGGCGCAAATGCGCACCTCGGAGTTGCGATCCCGTGTCCAGCCCTCCAGTATGCCAATGATCAGGTCCAGCGTGGCCGGCGAGGCATCCAACTCGACGATGGCCCGCACCAAAGCGTTCAGCTGCGGCAGCGATTCGTTCAGGTGCTTGGCCAGGAAGCTGTTGCGCTCATCCTCTTCCTGCGAGTCGAACTTCATCTTCAGCTGCTGCGCGCAGCCGAAAAAGTTGCGACAGGCGATCTCAAATATCACGCCACCGTCCACGCACTCCTCGGTATCGGGACCACCTAAAAATGCAGTCTTATAATCAATATTTCACTATACAGAAAGGAGATTTCCTCACCTATTCGTATAAAGTCTGTGCCCAGCTTGAGGATGGTGGGCAGCAGGGGCAGGTCGTTGAAGGGCGCCTCGATGGGGATGCTGAAGACCGTCTCCATGATCTGCTTGCGGTGGCGCAGAGGCGCCGGCAGCTGCTCCTTGGTGGCTATCAACTGGTTGCAGATGCTGAGCAGCGTCTGCAGGATGGCCGACATGATCGTTTGGTCCTTGTGCACGGCCAGCTGTTGGATGAGGAAGCCCAGCAAGGTGTCGTCTTCATCCAGGTGCTGGATGGATTGCAGTGGATCGGCTTCTTCCATGATGCGACCGAAGGCCTTCACCACGAGCAGGTTGCTTTTGTAGTTCTCCAGCTCCTTGTGCGTGTCCTTGATGAAGTGCAGATTGCTAAAGAATCCCGTGGAGTGTTTCCGCCCACCAACTTGGGCCAGTTCGGTTAGCTTCTTGACTAGATGGCCCAAGTGCTGGCGGGATATATAGCCCAGAGCTCTGGCGCAGGGTTCTATTCGCTTCTCGTAGTCTGCTTGCTTGACATGCTTGTCCAATCGCTCCTGCTTGGCGCTCGTCACAATGAGATCGATCTTGGTGTGGATGCAGGCCACATCGGTCACCTGGAGCAGGGTTAGGGCCACCGCTTGGAGCAGCATGCCTCTCTCGGAGCTCAGATCGGGCAAGTGCCACTCGGAGTGGGGTAGCTGCATGGGATACAAGTACATCTGGTCCGCCAACTTACTGGTCAGCCGCTGGGCAAAGTGCTCATCCAATCCGCCCAAGAACTCATTCGTTTCCAGCAAAAAGTCGTGCAGCAGCTGGCGGTAGGCACTCTCCCTGTTGATCTGCAGTAGCAGATCGGGAATCCTTCGCTCCCACAGTTCCTCCAGCGCGGGATTCACCTGGGGATGGTAGTAGCGCAGGAAACTGAGGATATTCGAGCAGCGCTTGATGCACTGCTGGTTGCCCAGGAGGGCCAGGCACCTTGCGTAAATTGTCTCGGCCCCGGGGACCATCACCTTGCCGCGCTTAATCACACTGCGATCATCGCCAGCGGCTCCATCTGCTGTGGCCTGCTCCGTGGCCGCATCCTCGCCAGCTAAATCGTACTCTATATGCGGGGATTTGGCAAACAAACTGGCCAAGCACTTGGCGAGATTCCCGCAAATATCCGTGTAGTCCAGGAGGATGAGGTAGTTCAGCAGCTCCCTCTTGAGCAGCTCATCCAAAGTGCCCACCGTGGAGGCCAGCATGTACAGGGTGTTCTCGCAGCTGAGGACCAGATTCGAGTGCTCCTCCAGGCTGCCATGCTCCTGGCTCGGCTTGGAGTATCGGCAACTGTGCCGCACCACGAACCACACAAACTCCTTGTCCCGTATGTAGGACTTTTGGGCGAGGGCAACGATGGTTTTCAGCAGGGTGAGCTTCATTTTGATTCCCCTTTCACTTAGGATCAGTTGCTTCAGGCATTCAATGCTGGCCGGAATCCGGTTTACTATGTTGCCCGCACAGGAGTTGAGCAGATGGGTGAGTATCAGCAGGGACTTCATCCGCTCCCGTTCGCTGTTGTTCCGCAGATGAATCAGCAGGGTGTCCATGATCCGGGTGGAGTAGGGATGATGGCCGGCCAGCAGGTGGAAGCAGCGCAGCACCTCGTAGTGACCCTTGACAGTCTGGGGCTTCTCGTAGTCCGGATAGACGCAGACCAGATCGAACAGGTGGGTCACCAGGGCATCAATTATGCCATCCAAAACCGTGGCATTTAGGGCCAGGTTTGTTTTCAGCACAGAGCACAGGAACTGGGTGACCGCATTCCGGTCCACACTACGTCGATAGAGGGCGAGGATTTGGGGCACCAGTCTGGCGGCCTGATCCTGAATCCGATCCTTGGGTAGCAGGGGATACATGCTGGATAGAGCTTGAAGTATTTCCACGCAAACCTTGGGCTCCCGCGAGTGCAGCCAGTGGTTGAAGAGCACGTCGTAGGCCACACTGATCTCCGTGGAGCAGTTGTCCTCCTCGCCCTTGCCGCCCTCCTCCAAAAGCGCTTCGCTGAATCTACCGATGGCATAGGCATGTGCCTGCTTAATGTGATCCTGCCGTATCCCGACCAGATGCGGCTGACTTCTGGCCAATATGGTCTTTATGTGGGGCACCACACCAGCCGGATTCTCGGTGGCCAGCAATCCGAGGCACTGCATCAGCATAAAGTGGGCCACACCCTCGGAACTCGTGCTCTTTTCCTGGAGGGCCTCCATCACCTGTTCACAGCTCTCCGGACTGCTCCGCCCGATGGCCACCAGAATGCGCTGGGCGGGATTCTGTATCAGGGGAACGTGCTCCGAGTTCCTGGTGAGCTCCTGCAGTGCCAGAGCAATCAGTTTTTGATTGGCAGCCGGCGGCAGGGGAGTTTCCGTACCCACCACGCGACGAATACAGCTGAAAGACGGAATTCCCAAAATGGATTAGTGAGTTGTTCACGGGTTGTTGCCCACAGGTACTCACTCCAGCAACATGGCCACCGTTTGGTCGCTCATCTTTGCCTGCTGTGACCGGTGCTCGCCCATCTTGGAGTGCTGCGAATGGTGCTCGCTGAGGATCTCCGCTGCCCGCTCCGGATGCGTCTCCAGGATCTTTACGATCGCCTGCTGCATGGCGACCCGCACCTGCTCCTCCTTGTCCGTCAGCCCATCGAAGATGTTGTGAAGCACCCCTGCAAAGGTTAAATAATGTAGGCAAACCATGTAAGTAATGAATTAAAAATACATACATTTATTCAAAATATTTTGTTTAAATCATATTCTTTTTGATAATTATTTTTAATATATATTAATGGCAGCGACCACTTCCCATTACTTATTTCTTTGTTCCAGCATACATCCCCATCCTTTACCGCTAAACCCTCCTTTAACCTCAAAAAAGCAAACTGGAAACTTTATAGTGACAATATCTTAAATTACAGCTCAGGTACTCAATCTACCAATAATATAAACAAAGAAGCTGCCATAATTAAAAAAGTTATAATTCAAAGTGCCCACCTTTCTATACCCCAAAACTCTATCTTTACCCTCAAACGTACTGTTCCCTGGTGGAACAACGACTTAGCTTGCCTTAAATACACGAAAAACACAAAATGGAAATTGCTTAAAACTAACATCAGTTCAGAAAATATAATTGAATTCAAAAAAGCCAACGCAAAATACAAAAGAGCAATTAGAGAAGCCAAAAAAACCGCCATCAACTACTTCACCTCCGAAATCCAACCCAACTCTGACCCAACTAGATTGTGGGCAAACGTTAAACGTCTATGCGGACTCTATCCCACTAAACATATCCACACTATCTATAACCCTTTTACCCATACTAACACCACCAATCCATCAGAAATAGCAAACACCTTCGGTAACGTCTGGTCAAAAGAAGCTGAGAACTCAAATTTTTCTACTACATTTAGATCAAATAAGAGCCTTGTCAACTACACCCCAAACTACTTACCATGCCACGCAGCCCTTGAAATAGAAAAAGACATAACCCTAATAGAACTTCTATCAGCCCTTAGCTCTCTCAAAGGTGCCACTCCAGGACCGGATCGCATCTCGTACTGCATGATTAAAAACACACCTACCCCTTTTAAACTCAAAATTTTACAACACTTTAATAATATTCTCAACTCTCACATCCCTCAATCATACAAACTCAGCCTAGTCCTCCCTATTTTAAAACCCCAAAAACCCCAAATCGAGCCCAAATCATACCGACCTATTGCCCTAAACCCATGTTTAGCAAAAGTTCTGGACAAAGTTATTGCTAAAAGATTGTGGTGGTTTGTTTTAACCAACAAACTTTTGCACAACAACCAATTTGGTTTTAAAAGGGGAAAATCTGTCCTAGACAGTCTGCTATACGTAGACCATCTAGCGACCAGAGCCCTTTCCTTAAAACGACACATTTCAATAATATCCCTAGATTTCGCTAAGGCCTTCGATAAAATAGGAATACATTCTCTCATCCACCAACTCCAAAAATGGAAAGTAGGCCCACGAGTACTAAAATACGTGGCCAACTTTATGAACAACAGGAAAATCATAATCAAAAACGGAACCTCACTTTCCAACTCTTTCCCACTTGACAACGGCATCCCACAAGGCTCTCCCATCTCAGTTATCCTATTCCTAATAGCCTACAATTCCCTCTGTAACATCATTTCCATTCCTAGACAATTTAAATTTACGGCCTACGCTGACGATTTCCATTTAATCATAGAGCACAAAAGAAAAAAAAACCCCTCTACAAATCTAACAGCTGTCTTCCAAAAAATTAAAAAATGGTGTACTTACTCAGGTTCCTCCCTCTCGATTGAAAAAAGTCAACACCTCCACATATGTCGGAAACACAATTGCAGAGCAAAAATATATACTGGTTCCCTAACCATCACTGAAACTAGCACTACAAAAATCCTAGGCCTCACCATTAATAATAAATACAACTGGTCCACCCACATAAGCAGACTAAAAGATAGCCTCCGCAAACCCTTAAACATCATCAAACACCTATCCTCCCCAAAATACAACACCAACACCTCATCCCTTATCCAAATTATCAAATCCATCCTAATCACTAAAATCGACTACTGCCTACCTATCTATGGTAGCGCACCTACACACTTAATTAACCACTTAAAAACCATTCAAAATTCAGCAATTAGAGCAGCACTAGGCGCTTTTCGTACTACACCAACCAACAACCTTCTCATTGAATCCAACATTTATACAATAGAACACAGAAGAGAACTTTTAACGGGCAAACTATCAAATAAATTAATTCACTCTTACGACACCCCCCTTAGTCATCTAACCAAGACCACCAAAAAAAAATTTAAATACCCAAGCACAATAGACCGAACCATAGAAATCTGCAAAAAACTAAACCTCCCCTACCTACCAATCAAAAGCTACCCCAACAAAAAATACAACATGGAACTAATAATAAAAGCTACAAACACTGATCTGTCCAAGTACAGTAAAGCCAACACCCCTCCAACTACCTATAAACAACTTTTCCAATCCCTAAAAAACACCCTCCCTAACCACCAATTCCTTTACACCGACGGCTCGATGGCAAATGGCATATCAAGCTTCAGCGTAACCGACGAAAACAACACCATCAAATGTGGTCTTCTTCCTCTCTATTCCTCAGTCCTTACAAGCGAACTAATAGCCATCCACGAAGCTATAAAAACAGCTTTACAAAATCCAGGAAAACACGCAATCTGCTCAGACTCCCTATCGTCCCTTAACTCCCTTACTAATTTTAACAACCACTCCTTCTACCCTACAATCATAAGAAACCTAATTACCAATCATTTCCCAAAAATCAAACTAATTTGGATCCCTAGTCACATCGGCATAAAAGGCAATGAGAATGCTGACAAAACAGCAAAAGAAACACAAAAATACCCGCTTATATACACACAAAACAACAACACTAACGACATTACACATTACCTCAAAAAATACATTAAATTAAAACAATCCGACCTGCATAACAATACCTCTCCCTGGTATAACAATATCGTTAAAAAAACTCCTTCCAGCTTTACGTACTCGCACACCAATCATAATAGGAAAACCCAAATAATTATAAACCGAATTCGACTAGGACACACCTCACTTACAAACTCACACTACATGGACAGATCCCTTCCAAACACTTGCCCATACTGCAACAGCCCTCATTTAAACATTGACCACATTTTATGCTCCTGCCCTTTCCTCTCCCAACCTAGAGCTACATCCTTCCTTTCTGACAACCCAGCCAACATCATAGCAAACCCTTCCAATGAAAACATAACTAAAATCATTTCATTTCTTCAAAAAGCCCAACTTATTCACAAAATCTAAAATTGTTCTCACTTCTTTAAATTAAATTATTACTGTCATCCCAGACGAGCGGAAGGCCTCAGCTGCTAATGCTCTTATTATAGTTAGTTCATAGTTTTAAAACTTAAGCTAGCTTTATATAAATAAATAAATATATATTAATACAAAATTACTAAGCTGAGGAAAAGGCGGTGTTGACACTGCTTTATATGACATATTTGCATATATCGCTTATTAATTTAAATGATTATTCACTGATTACAAATCCCTTGTTCTTATTTTGAAAAATAAAAAAATGTTGTAATAAAAATATATTTTTTTTTAGTTAAGTAAAAGCTTTAGATAAAAGAAAAATGAAAAAAAAATCTTTAAAACCGATGACTTCTTGTATGTTTTCTTTGCACAGGCAGGGGAAATTGAGTAAAACAAAGGGCAGCTTTCAGTGAATGCGAGTAACTAGATCAAAGTCAAGTTTGCACTAGAGCTCAATTTATGTGAATGCACACTCAGTGAGAGTCACAAAAACAATACAGACAAGGTTAATTTGCAGCTTTTTATGGATTTTTTCTTATCGGTGCATGGTGTTTTAATACTCTTGCAGAGAGTACTATAATATAAGTTTTTAAACATTTGAAATATTTTAAAATAAATTGTGAACTATAAGTTTTATTTAAGAATGGCAATTAGAATTTACAAAAATATGTTTTTTTTACTTTTTTTTTTATAATATTGCATTTGATAATATTATGAAATACACCAGAGCAAATCAAAATGCAGAAGCCACCTGACAATGATATGGCCAAAAATACATCTATAAGGAACACGTCATCCCAGAGATGCATTAGATTCATAGTCCAACTGGACTTATTGAATTTCAAATGATATTCGAGAGGACTTTTTAATGTACGACTCTTTGTTTTTAGCTTTAGCTGTAACACACATTAACAAACAATGAATCAAATTAAATTGAATGCAATTTGTGGGTGTAATTGTATTGATTTGTCATACCAATAAATTGTTGTTTTTGTATAATGTAGTGATGAGTTTGTAGGGCTTCACACTCAACAGGTCCCCAAACACACACATGCGTATATACAGTATATGTATATATGTAGAAACCCAAATAGAGTTGTTCCTCTCTCTCTGTCTCATTTAATCCACCCCCTAAAAGTGGGATGTCAAAGGATTCGCGTTATTTTAAGCGCTCATGTGTGCGTTGTCTAATGCGTAGTTGTATATTTAGACCAGGACACAAGGCTGCGCTTTATCACTAATCCGAAAGCGAGTGAGAGAGAGGGGCCGAAACGCCCATTTCACATTTAGGCATGTATGTACATATGTGTGTGCCTTAGAAGATTCATAGATTCATCGGTTTATCTATGAGGTTTCTGGGAATTTCTTTGTTTTCCTCAGCTTTTATTTACCTTCAAAAACTGATGGCTTATCAACAGGCGCCGTGGAAGAAGAAGAAGCAGTGGTACTCCCAGTGGCGGCGTTATTTGCAGCAGCTGATTTGTTGTTGCCCGTTGAGGTGCCTCCCCCGCCCCCACCACCCCCTCGCTCGTCCATCTTCTTGGTGGAGTTTCGCGTTCTCTTCCACTTCTCCAGTTTTGCGGGATTTCAGATAGAGCTATACTAACGCGCACTTCTTGATCACAAAAAACCTCCGAAAAACAAGCGAAAAACTCCGTTGCGAAATTGTTTTTGTTTTACTAATAGTATGCCCCTATTCTTATTGGGAAATTACCTTGTTCCCCTGGTAAATGCGTTAGTGCTTTTCGGTATTAGTGGGGTTTCAAGCCATGGTAGTTATCTTTGCTGCAATGTTAGTATGGACGCAATCCACCCAATTATTTTATCCAATAAGAAATAATAATTAAATAATAATAATAATACTAATTACTTGTTTTAAAAAATTGTAAAATGCAGCTATAAATAAAAAATACGTTTTTACTAAAAAAAAAATAAAACAAATGTAAGAGGTGGCGTAAACAAATCCATTTAAAAAAATCTTTTCGAGCCCTTAAAAAGGTACAGGTACGTATATATTTTTGTATTAAGCTCTTAGAATTTAAAAGTACAATGTTTAATGAAGATAGAGAGGTTATCTTACAAAGACTCCTTGGAATGTTGTTTAAAGCTAAATAATTATTCTTAACTTAACAGCGAACCTTCTTATATTCTTACAATTTTCGCTTAGGCCGATAAGCTCCCGTTTTCCCACGCTATATTCTCACTGATAAGACTTTGCCTCTTTCGTTTCAAGTTATAAGTTGCAGATATTGGAAAAAAATGTTTTAAATAAACACTGTTTAAATTGCCTTCCACCATGCTAGAGCAATTCTTCTTCTGTTTTAATTTGATATCAGTGTTTCGACCACAAGCCAAGGCTAAACCACGATGAAGTACCAATGATAACCTCTTATCACTCCTTTTCCTAAAAAAACACATGTCATTTAAAATTCGTGTTTTCTTTTCGCTAGCAACAACATACATTTTTAATTAATTTTTTTCCGATAAAAAAAAATTGATAAAAAAAAGTACGATTTCGAAATTGTAATAACGTATCTATGGAAATTTCTAAATATTTACATATGTATATGTCTGTCGTACAAAATTATCAGAAAACAATTATTAAAAAAATACCTTATTGTTACTTTAATCTTAAATAAAAAACTTGGGAACTTATTTTATAGTTCCTAATTAATATACAAAATATGCAAAACAAAAGACAAAGTAAAGCAAAGTTTCTTAAAAGGAGGACTTTTAAAACTTTTTATTATAAAAAAGAATTTTGAAGTTTTAAGTCATGACTACTCTTAAAGTTTTTGAAAAATACCCGCTAAGCAAAAGTAGCTCTCTTAAATCGAAATTCGCTCAGCTGAATAAAGAAATCCAATTGGAAGTGGCAGCGGTCGGCGGTGGATGAAATGGCTCCACCAATGGCGTTGCATGTCCACGTGCCACCTGCGCCACTCGGAAATCCCAGGCCAATCAGAATCGAGGGGCGTTGATTAGTGGCAAGGCAATTGCAGGAGCGAGCCAGAGAGTTCGCTTCTGCTTTGTTTATTTGTTGATATATAATAAATAAGTAATATCTATTTTTTTAATTTATTAAATATTATATGAAAATTGTATTTTCTCAATACCGGTTTTTTTTTCGAGCAGTAGAAAATTGAGAGATGGAGAGAGAAAGAGAGAGAGCAACTTAAGAGAGGCAAGTACGCCCCAATCGAAGAGAGCGCTGTTCCATTGGCTCGCGAAATCCAATTCGATTCTGAGCCGAGCTCTTCTCTGCTTTCATTCGTCTCGTGAAATTCAAGCCGCGCAGTCAAAAGTTAAAAGTTAGTTTCAGTAACGTTTTGGAGTACGACGCGCGAGCATTATTGTTTCCATTGTTTACGAAGATTATTAGTAAAAATATAAACACCTCGCCTTACCGCCCTTTCGTGTTGCTATTTTTTTTATTTTTTGCTTGAGGCCCTGAAACAAATACCCATAAAAACTAACAGTGTGTGTAAGTGAAAACCCAAATTACCCAAAAAGCGCGCCAAAAGTTTTGACTTTAAATAATAAAACGAATTTCACCATAAACTCAAGTTAAACAAAGGGAAACACATGTTCAACAGAAACTTAAACCTAAACCGAGTTAAATACGGTTTCTCAACAAACCAATTATAAACAAAAGTGCAATGAAGTTAAGAAAAAAAAGAAATATTAGAAAGTGCACATTACAAAAATGCTGTTAAATAAAAGTACAAGCATTTTTTTTAGAATATTAAATAAAACCGAAAAAAATTAAATTTCAAAATTTACATAATATAAAACTGCAGGACTAAAAAATATATTTTAAAAAATTACTAATGGAAGACTTATCTTCTTGATTATAAACACAGCTTACAAGTACATTAAATACAAACATAAATTTCTGTTCAAGTTCAGTTCTCAAAACATGTAATTTCATTTAAAGCCGAGCTCTTATAGCATCAACATTCTGAATGACTTTAAAGCACAGCTGAATAGAGAAATTGTTTATTAAAACAAACTTTGTTTAATAAAGACAAAGTTAAAGCGGTCTTTTTACATTCATTCTAAGAAAACGAATAAAATCTAAAACCTGAAAAGAAGGCCCGTCACATTAATTTCGGGAACCGAACGCCAAACATGAAACATTTTTATTCAGCCAAGTGAAGTGCAAACAATAACAATAACGAATCGAATCAAATAAACCCCAGAAATCATCTGGCACAGGCATGCTCGGAAACAACAAAATCAGCAAAATCAATGTTAATTTTTGTGACTAATTTACCAAAGTGTGAACTTAAGACCGCCAACAGGCGCCTCAAAATAGGCAGTATCCAGAAACTGCAGCATTTCGACTTTTCCCAGAATATGTTTACATTTTATTAAAAGTGGTCGCACGGCGTTTAAAAATACAATCTTAAGTCATTCAACCAGTTTGGATATGTTTGGATAAATCCAATGGACTTATTTAACAATACTTAACACACGAAGTACCTTCAAGTGCCTTAAATTGCCATTCAGCTCATTAATGTTTTAATATTTGATTAGTATTGTAAACTGTGTCTGATCAGTTTACAATGCTTCATTTTTGTTTTGCTAATCCTTTCAATTTTAAAATTACAAATTCTAGTTCTAATATTAAATTGTAGAATTTTTAATAATCTAGCGACCACCTTTTGTTTTAATTTTCAATGAAAATGTTAATTTTCTTATATCATAATTGTTAAATTTAAAAGAAACCAACCAAAATATCAATTGTTATGTTTTTTTTTCTGTGAATCGTTTAGAGATTAGAGTTTATTGATGAGTGAAAAAAGGACACCGCCACGTGGAGTGATAAGCGACCTGCTGCGACCCGCACACTGAGAGAAAAGCGGACGGGGAAGGGAGCGCCGTCGACGAATGCATTTGCATCTCCTGGTGGCAGCCAAGACGCCTCCATCTGAGCAAACGGGCGTTGGGGAGTCGGAGTTGCAATTGGACTTGGACTTGGGACTGGGATTGGGATCGGGATCGGGATCGATATCAGGTTCGGGACAAGGAGCAGCAGTACTATCCGGACTGGGATCTGGCCAGGAATCGGCAGCGGACCACTGCACCACTGTGGCGCCCGTCAGCGTCGCCGGTCCCGGCCGCCTGGGTCGCAGCATCAACGGCAGCGGCGGCAGCCACCACCACCACCACCTGCACCACCACTACGCCCCCTACCACGCCCACCACCCGTACCACCACCCGCACCACCACCCACCGTACGCCTATCCGCCGGCAGCGCCGCATCCGCCGGCCATGGTCACCTCGTCCTCCGCCTCGCCAACGGGCAACGGCTGGAGCAGCACCACCGGCGACTTCAAGGGCATCACGGCGGTGGCCACGGCCACGGGAGGGGTGGTGGAGCCACCCAGGGAGCCACTGCCTCCACGGGCGCCACCGCCGCCGAGGTGCTGGCCGTTTCCAGTAGTGCCAGCGTGGGCAGCAGTTCGCCCACAGGGGGCGCCAGTAATGGTACCGCCCACAGTGGTCACAGCGGACACACCGGCGGCCACAGCAGTAGCACCGCCAGCAATTGCAACAACAACAATGGTGCCAGCAACAGCAACAACAACAATAATAATAACAACAACAACAACAATGCCGTTCACCAGGATCTACTGTGGATGGAGCGATTGGTCCTCAAGCGACAGCAGGAACATCCCGGGGAACTGGGTGAGTTGCATTCCGGAGGATATCACAGGATAACTAATACAACTAGGATCTTCAAAAGTTTTATTTTTTATTTTTTTTATATATATGTAGTCCTATTTTATATAGAGATTAACCAAATTGGATCGTTTGAATTCAGCTAGAGTGCACATAAATACTATAAAAAAAAGTTAATGTAAATGGATTTCAGACATACAAATCATTAACTTAGATGAATCATTTTGTTATATGCTCTCTCACATTTGAAGAAGAATTCCAGTATCCTTTTTAAAGACTTCTCTAAGTTAAAAGCTTTCATATAGAACCTTGTCTTATTCCCAAATATAAAAGGCATACGATCCTATTTAATAAAACTCGAGGTTAAAGCTGTTGTCAACAAAATTGAGCATTATAGGCAGTCAATCTACCTAATAAATATTTTACTTCGAATCAAAAAATGATGTAAAGAAGAGGAAACAAAGTACTTTTACAAATATGCTGCAAAAAACACTGTCAAACTAATTCTAATCGAATTGGTATGGACATATGTCCATACTAATGTGCACTAACTACTAGAATTCATAAATTGTTAATTAGTTGGAAGTGCCAGATTTTTGCCCATGACTTACATATCCATCTTTCTACTGCAGAAAGACACTTTCGTTGCCTTGATACAAAATCAACACCTTTAGCTCGTGTCCAAGTCGAGACTGAGATCATCTGCTGGCTGCTCGATAACCCGATCCCCAAAGGTGAAGCGCACATTCTTTGCCACATCCTTGCACAATGCACTTCTGGGGCTTCCCCATCATCACGATCCACGATCCACGATCACCAGATTCGGCCTTATCGGATTCCAAGGGATGATGATGGTGATGATGATGACAGGCCGCGTCGGAATATGCGTAAATTGATATCAATAATTGTTATTGATATCAACGCACGAGTCGTTCCCCTTTTTTCCCCATTTTTTGTTGTCTTCTCAGTGCCCGTTGAACTTTCCTCCTCAGCGATGATATCAATGATATCAATGACCCAGAGCGAAAGCTGCTAATGAAATCTCAGCTCATCGCTCCCCATGTCGAAAGCCGAATCCGATCGGATAATTAGCCGGGGAACTGGTTCTGCATTTCTCCTCCCAGTGTCCTTTCATAACTTGTGCTCAATGAAGTCGGTTCTCCGGTTTTTAGGGGAAGTGAATGAGTCGCCTCGATATCGGATTGCAGCTCCCAGGACCTCGAAGTGGGTTTGTCAACACAGAATAGTGGGGCAATATTTTATAAAAGATGCCAGCTTAGATTTTTTAATGAAAATCCATGGGAAATATAATGTTAAATTCATTATTATCTAAAAAAGTATTATCAGTCAACAGATTACTTAACCCAAAAGATAGCTTTTTAGCACGGATCTTTGACAGTTCTTCCGCCATAGTTTAAACGCCAGTTTGACAAATGAAATTTAATGATTATCGCAATTAGGTTCGATATTTTGGACTATTTTGACGGCAGACAAAAGTGAATAAATCATTTATGTGGCCCGTCTCCACACTTTGCTCCACTTTCGACACGGGGTCAAATGTCAAATGTCAATCCGATAACCCCTTCCGGCTGACATTCCCCCGCTCATTAATTAATTATGCACCGCCGGATGGCGGACGTCGGTCGAAGGACACTGGACCCTATGATTGATATTTATGGAGCGAACGACACAAACTATAAATAATTGAATATTTTTACACAATTTGATGGCCCTGATGATGTGATTTTGATCAGAGGACCCCCTGGACTAATTAAGACCACCTTTCTCTCCTTTTTTGCAGTGCGCACGAGCAATCCGTACTTCCTGTGCTCCGCCCTGCCCGCCCATTGGCGCTCCAATAAGACGCTGCCGATGGCCTTCAAGGTCGTCGCACTGGCGGAGGTGGGCGACGGCACCTACGTCACCATCCGGGCGGGAAACGACGAGAACTGCTGCGCGGAGCTGCGCAACTGTACCGCCCAGATGAAGAACGACGTGGCCAAGTTCAACGATCTGCGGTTCGTGGGCCGCAGTGGTAGAGGTGAGTACCGAAAAAAGCACTTGGGAATTATAAGCTAGAGGGTTTGATGCGATAACTATTAATTATTATTAAAATATCTCTATTAGGGGCAAAATAATTTGGGAATGTCATGGTGAAAAAAATTACAGCTCGGGAATTCAGAATACAGATTGAAAACTACAAAATCAACTACAAATAGATAACATTTTTTCGTTAATTTAGAAATAAAAAAGAAGAACCAAACAAAAGGTTATGATAGAAAAGTAAAATTTAAATTTAAAAAAAAAATGAAGACCATCCTGAATTTGAGGCTCATTTAATAATTTCTAGCACATGCGAACGAACTTCTCAATTTAGCAATGCGGAAATTAGTGACTTCCTCAAGCAACGCAATCAGCATTTCCCTTGCCAACTGTCGATTATTAGGTGCCCGAATAATTCTTCCCACAATTTCCTATACTTTGCCCAAACGACGTGAAGCTGTAGGTTTATCCTTTGAAATTTGCCTCAAAGTACACAGTGATAAAAATTCAAGAGCTAACATATTAATTCAAGATTGATTGAGTCTCTTCAATAAACGTTGCCATATGCTTACAATATAATTGATTAGGATTTGTTTTGGAACTTTATTTAACTCCAGTTTATTGGTAATATATGTTTATAAATTATAAATAGTGTTAAAAATACATAGCTTTAAGACTGACATTGTGGTTGGTTGTTATAGTCTTTTTTTCCCCTGTGTATCCCCAAATCTTGGGAATGGATCGGAAGTGCATTGATTGAGTGACATGGCAGAAGTTCTGGGTCCCCGTCTCCAACTCCATCTCCATCTCCACATCCACCTTCATTCCGGGTGACTAATGTCTCCTGTGAAAAGGATCAATGGTACAGCAGTCGTCACATTAGGCTGCAGTTGGCGCTGGCCCCGGGGCAACATGCAACATGCAACACTCAATGTGCAACACGAGGTTCCCAGTTCGCAGTTCTCAGTTCTTGGTGCCCCGTTGCCCAGTTGCATATGGAAATGTGCTGGACGGGATCGGCTGAGTTGGGTGATCACGCAATGGCCGGTTCTTTGGGTCTGGTAATCGATTTGAACCCACAATTACTGCCGCATTGCAGGCGATATGTGTTGCATAGAATTGGCAGCAGCAGCAGCAGCAGCAGCAGTTGGCTAATTAGCTGCAACTGTTGCCGTCGCTGTCGCTTTCTGACCCTAAGTCAACCTATGGCCCACCACATCGGAACTAAACACCCCACCCCCCCTTCTCCCCTTGCAAATTGACGGCTCGTGCCGCAAAAGGGCCAAGAAAAAAAAAAAAAAAAGAAACACACAAAATAATTACAGCAACGGCAAAGGGCATGCAAATAACAAGCTAATGATGTAAGAACATAAACGCTGACCAAATTGTCAACGGCAGGCAGCAACAGTTCACTTCACTTAACGGCCACGCCCCCACGACCTCGCGACCCCACCGCCCACCGCCCACCGCCCCCACTGACCTTTGGTTGGGTATGAATCCGCGGACATCATGCAGCGATTTCTGATTAGATGACAAAGCGAATGAAAACAGATGGAAGTGAAACCATCAGCATATCAAGGGGGCACAAAATGCACACAGGGATTTGACCAAGGGAAAAATACCCTGTAAAACTGTATATAAAATATAAATATTAATATCGAAAAGTATATAAAGTATTCAAGTATATTAGACTTTAAAACCAAGGCTTTAATTAAACATACATAGATGAAAAAATCTTTAAGTTCAAAAGTTCAACTCCAAAGGGACTCTAAATTAGAACTGTTTTATATAGTTCAAAAAACACAATCCCATTCTTACGAAGCACATTCAATAGTTGTTAATACTTATCAGTCATATAAATAATACAAAAATAATAGGAAAATTAATTATATTTAATATATTTAATATCAAAAATCAGATAATGATATTAAAAATATTTATTTCAGATTTATATTTTCATTACTCAATTTAATTTAAGGGTATCAACTAGTACAATTCTGTTTGGCATTTCCCGCTCTTTTTTTATGCTGTTCAAATGAAGGGGAAGGGTGAGATGGTTGGTTGGGTGGACAATTGCTAGATTGAGTGGGTGGGGGCGTGGCAGCTTATCGCCTTTTTATCCTGGACATGGCATGCGTCGACATGTTTTTAATTTGCCCCTTAGTCCGCAGTCAAAACAAAATCTAAATGCGAATCGCCATCTGATTCGGACGTCCCCGAGTTCATTCTCATTGGGTCCGCTTAATTACCAACATCTAGAGAACGAGAACATCTACCGAACATCATCGACATCGACATTATAATCATCGTGTATCATATCAAAGGACTTGACTTTTGCCGGGCGATGGGATTAAAATGTGAAAACAAAGCAAATGAAGGACACGCGCCACCAGGAATTCATAAGTCGCATCAGGATTTGTTTTTGGGAAAGGGTTGCAAAGGGAAGCTGGCGGAGATGGCCGATAAACTTGAACAGGTCCCTGATCCGACTTAGTGGTCGGATGGACGGAAAGTGGTTTCCCGGGCGGAAAGGTTAATGGGATGAATATTTGGAATATTTGGACAACTGGGGCAAAGAGTTTGCCATCGGATTCGTTCACTTATTAATAGTTCTGCCATGAGTACAATTTAATTAAGCCACATTTTTCGAGTAGCTAATTTACAGACTCATCAAGGAAATTCTTTAATTTCAAAATATTTTTAAATTTAGTTGCAAAGTAATCTATCCCATTGCTATATTTTTTTCATTTAAAAATTCTACTATTATTCTAAAATATTTTTATACTTAGTTACAAAGGAATCTATCCCATTGCTATATTTTTTTCATTTAAAAATTCTACTATTATTCTAAACATTCCAAAAAGTGTTCGTTATGTTTATTTAAACATTTCAAATAGTATTTATAATGTTTATTTAGTGTCAATGTAAGTTTAAATGGATTTATAATATTCTTTTCTATTTACACAACATCTCGAAATAATGTTCCAAGAAACCTTCTTATTCACTCAGGTTCACACATCAAACAATTATCGTTTCAAGAATATTCATGCTCATGTATAAGCATATGAAATGCCTTATCAGGCTGGGAATTCAATGCTTTTTTCGGCCTATCAAGATCGCTAGTTCCCACATTAAGTTCCCAGCCGAAAAACTTGTGCAATTATTCAGTGGAATCTGATGTAACCCAAACGTACCATAAATACACATTAATAAGTCCACACATATGTTCATATACCAAGTGATATCGTTGCAGTGTTTATCGCTAGAAAGCTCGACTTTAGAGGTTCCCACAGAGGCGTGAAGCTACTTGCCTAGTCTTATCGCTTAGAATGGCGATGGCTCATGGATGTAAGGGGTTCCAGGGTTCCTGGGATATATATTTAGATGTGTATATATGCTCCATTTGCAGCAGATTACGATTGCCACTCACTGACTGTCCAAGTGCGTGAGCCGCTGGTCATTGTTCATTGATGATGACTAATTTGTAGGGATCCCTCCATCTCCAACTCCATCTCCCACTCCATCTCCATCTCCAAGTCCAACTCCATCTCCAATCCCATATCCAACTCCATCTCCATTATGACCATTATCGCTCCCATTTCGGGGTCTTTAGTGGGGGTTTTTGAGTTGTCCGAGATTTTACCATTGCCTTAAAGACAAAGGGGCAGCAACAGATATAATAATAACATTTTCCAATTACTCTAACGAACTTTTACATACGATGCTCCAGTTTTGTGGCCATTAAAAATTACCCCGAAAAGGAGCCAGGTCTATTTAACAGTTTCTTTCGGTGCGCAGCTTCTGCGGCACTTGATTAATTTGACTTCACCTCTCGATGGATCTTTCGGTTCGACTGTATAATACGAAATAAGTCAAACACGCATGGCCATAAGTTTTTGGGTTTTCGGGTTTTCGAGTGTAATGAAGACATTTCGAGACCTGGAGATTTTGTGGGTCGGGTCCAAAACGCTTTCTAACTGATGGCCATTCCAGTCGTTCGTGGTTTCGGTTAATGAACCCATCAAATCTTCAATTATCTTGGCTCGGCGGTCCTTCATTGTGTCTAGTTTGAAGATTCCATTGTAGCTTTGCTGCACTCCCATTACTTATGTATTATGTATACAATCCAAAAGGCAGGGGACTCATTTTTCGTTACACACCCTCTAAACTCTGATGTTGAAAAACTAAACAAAACATTCTAGTTTTTTGTTTTTTTCTTTTGCATATTTTAATAACAAAGATTATATAATTTCCTTATATTTAGGTCAAGTGAATCATTTCGATTATGCGTGACTTATTCATAATCATAATTTTAGAAAAAAAAATAGCTCATACATTATTAGTTGCTGTTTAGATGGCAAACTAATTAGGCATCAAACTCAAAATAAATTGGGAATATTAAGTATACATAATAATGATCATAAAATATTTAATTTTTTTTAAATAAAAATATAGTTTTGTTCTTTTTTTTATAAATCTAATCTACAATTGATGATTTGAGCAGTGAATATCCTAGATACATTTTAGTAAGTATTGTAATTTGGACTTTTTTATTAACTTCAGATACATTTTTACTTCTATATATTATATATGTTTGGCTTTGCAGTTTTAATTTAAAGTTAAATAAAATTTTAATATATTTATAATGGAAGGAAAGGAATTTTTTTATAAAATCTTTTACCAAATGCTCCAACTTATTTTTTACCATATACCTAATCTTTCGTTCCCCAAAGGATTCGCCATTCTGCTGATTCCTCTTTCAGCATTCAGTGTTCTTAATTAAAAGTTAAATGCATTTTCCATCAAGTAGGACTCGCTCCCAATGTCTGGTCAAATCTCCATCACCATCACCATCTCCATCACCACCCACCCATGTTTATGGAATCCTCGGTCAGTCGGAGATGGAAGATGAGTTTTTGGGTTTGGGGATGCGACTGAGGTTTCTGCGGTCAGCTTGGATGGTTCTCTGTCTCCGATTTTTGGACCTCATTCTGGCCCTGCAACAACAATGTCGCTTTTGTGAGTGTTTAATTATATGTGCATATACATATATGCATTTGCAGTTTCACTGGCCAGCCATTGAGACAGACAGACAGACAGACTGCTAAAATACCGAAATAAAAAACTTAAATTCATTTCACATTTCCCCAATCGATAAAAGCCGCTGATGCCTTTCAGTTTTATTTTGCAACCGCTGCAAACAGTGTCTAGTTTAATGGCCATAAATAGTGTAAACATTCGGTCAAGCCCAGAAAAAATTAACTCTTTCTGGCGACAATGTTGCCGTTCCCTAACCAAATTGGGGGCGGTGGCAGTGAAATAAGGGGCGTGGCCGGGCGGAAGACAGGTTGCAACATTTCCTCGTTTTATGTGCACTTCGAAAACGACTTTGGCGGCAGTCATTAAGGCGGGATAAACCAAATTTATGTCAAGAGTTCGAACAAATTGCACCGCCGGCGAACATGAATTTTGGGGGTTAATTCGAAGTCAGCGATACCCTGTATCAAAAAGAGTGGCTACAAATAAAATATAACAACACTTTAAAAAATACTAACATATTAATGTGAAATACGTAAGAATAACTGAATGTGTTATCCAATTAACAAAGACCGCAAGCCAACATTTACACTACAATAAAATAGTTTTTCTTGGGTAACCCAAGACCCTATAGGGTTCTACCCAATATATGCAACATCTGGATGTGTAGGGATGCCGTATACCAAAATTCACAATAATTGCTGAAAGGGTTACCGGGTTCACTCAGACCACAAGCTCACACTTTCGCCCAAAAGCCATAAGAAGTGCAGCCATTAAAGGGGTAGGAACGCAGCGCAGACACACGAACGAACGAATTGTGACGCGTGGTTCGCTGGCCTGGGTTTTTTGGGTTTTTGGTAGTTCCGACTGGCAAATTGATTCGGTAGCCCAGTGAGGTCGTCGCATAAATCCTCCGCCGACATTTACGACTCAATTTCCGCATTTGCAGCCGCCTCTAATGCCATGCCGCTTCTGATTTTTGCAGGGAAGAGCTTCACGCTGACCATCACGGTGGCCACGAGTCCGCCACAGGTGGCAACCTACGCCAAAGCCATCAAGGTGACCGTCGACGGACCCCGGGAGCCGCGCTCCAAGACAAGTAAGTGCCACAGATCGTATAATCCGCAAAATACTACCAAGGTCCTAGCAGTAAATTCAGCTTGCAACTTGTGAAATATAACTATCAATAGATACAAAAAGTGATACAAAATAAGATCCTTTTCAAAACAAAAAACTAATTCACCGTTTCCACGCTTTTATTTTATTTTATCCCAAAATAAACATTATTTTTAACGAATCAAAAAATTATTTAGGACTGCAACTAGTGATATATGCAAAAAAATAATAATTAACATAATGAATAAATTTGGAAAGGAAATAATTAGGAACAACAATAGTTCAAATATTATTTTCAAACTTTAGGTAACAACAAGCATGTATAATACCATCTGTAATCACCCTATTTTTATCCATGCTACACCCTTCTCAAATAAAGTATAATAGAACAAACATAAGTGGCTACATTGTTTTGCCAATTAGCAATTATCACTTGCCACAACTATGCGCAACAAAGAAAGAACAGGGAAAGTCGTGGAAAGGCGTCCCGCTGCGTTTTGGGTTTCGCATTGCAACATGTGTGCATGTCCGTGTCCGCTTTTCCCGCCGTAATGAGTAACCTTATTCCAGAGTCACTTGGCCAACACTTGGCCAACACTTGGCCAACACTTGGACAAGTGTTTAAGCCGGCCCAATAGTTAAGCCGATCCGCTCAATTGCCCATAATCGTCCTTAATCCCTAATCCCCATTTTCCAAGTCGAACAGACGCTCTATTTATACCACTCGACTTAAACGAAAAACAAAAGGGATAATATTTAACTTTATAATCATATCGAAATATCATGTCCTGGGGTGTCCAAGAAATCTCTTCCTATTAAATTCTATGCCAAAATCGAATATCGGTGTTATAGAAATTATGGTTAAACTACACATCCCAGATTTATTTCGTTTATTTTTGTTAATAAACAATATCAAATTACTAGGATAATATCAAGGAAAGTATTGTAAGATCAAAAGATTATTTCATTTTGAAACAAACTGCTTGGCAGGAATCCTAAGAAACTATCTATTTAATACAATTTAAAATAGTTTTACAAACAATCGTCAGTCATCGAATTTGTTTTCCGTGTGTTTTTTATCTGGGTTTTTTCTGGTCTTCTCCGCACTCGGGATCCTTTCTCCTCCTGTCGAGGATCGTGTGACACCCGATGAACGCCATTTTCCGATCTCTGAGTTCTGTCATTCGGGAAGGTGTTTGAAAAGTGCAGCCGGTTTTAACTGACTTCAAGAGGGAAGGAGGAGGGGGGGATGGGGGATGGGGGAAACGCTTCTGCTTCTTACGGTTTCTGAAAATTTTGCGGTTTGCAAAGAAAACCTTTTTTCTCTTTTTGTTTTGTTTTGCATCGAGTTTTTTATTTCGTGTAATGCATATATGAATTAATTTTTTCCTCTTGATATTTCGTTAATGCATTTTTAAGTCTTCCCTGCAGCGTTGGTCGCATGTAAGGTAACACTATATATATGCACATATATCGTTTAAGTATATAGAGTGAAGCTTGAGTTTACCTTGAGTTGAAATAAGGTTGAAATACTAAGGAGTACTGTGCAAAATGGAGTCACCTTTTAAGTTGTTCGGTTTTAAATACGAATCAAGGCAATTTAATGTTCGATGAGCATTATTTATTTAAACTGACCATATCGTTTTTAGTTAATGCTCAGCAATATTATTTAGATTTATGACTAAGTGAAAAAATCAATCCTGTTTAAATACCAGGGGTGATTAATGAAGTCATGAGAATGATAGGAATATGATAAGAGACTCGTATATTTCAGTATAGCCCTTCAATTTGCGATGTTAACAGTGTGAATGTTATTGAACATTTTAATTAAATATTTAAAAGATGAACTATGAGAAACATTGTTAAGCACTGTTACTTAACATTTCAATGTCAATGCTTTCTAACATTTGTATCTGATAATTCCATAATCGTAATTGTATTTATTAAATAGGTTGGTTTAAAATGGTATAGTAATCACTAAACACGCAGCTATATTTATTATTTTTCTAACATTTGTATCTGATAATTCCATAATTAAATTTTAACGATTAAAGAGGTTAGTTTAAAATGGTATAGTAATTACCAAAAATGCAGCTATATTTATTATTTTTGGCACATAAGTTAGATGCCTAGTTCAGAGTTAGTACTAATCTGCATACTAAAAGAGCCCCCTCCTTTCGTTTAACCCTCGACAGGTCCGACGGGTGGACCGCATTACCGCGCCCTGGGTCTTGGCCAGCGGCCCTACATCGACGGCTTCCCGACGAAGGCGTTCCAGGATCTGGAGACGCTGCGCCGCTCCGCCAAAGTGGCGGCGGTAACGACGGCAGCGGCAGCGGCCACGGCGGCAACGGCGGCCAATGCGGTGGCAGCGGCAGCAGCCGCGGTGGCGGTCACGCCCCCTGGCGTTGGTGGGGGCGGTGGAGCGGGGGCGTGGCCGGAGGAGCGGGCGCTGGACTGGTGCAGCAATTGAGCAGCAATTACTCATCGCCGAATAGTACAATCAACTCGGACTGCCAGGTCTACAAACCGAATGCACCGCACATCCAAGGTAAGTTCAAGCTGCACTGCTCAAAATTTATTTAACTTACCCCAAGAAATATTTACAATGCTTTCCTTATTTTTGTTGAAATTTTCAACATATATATGATTAAAAAGTGGGACAGCAAATATGGGTTTATTTCTTTAAAGAAAGTGATATTTAAATAGCTTTTATTGTTTTTATGTTCTTGATTTTCAACACAGTGTGAAAATATATTATTGAAATCTTTATAAAACAAGTAATTTATTGTATAAAAAAATATATTTTTGGTTTCCAACTACTAAACTTTAAACTTCTAGCAAAAGAACATAGTTGTTTAAGTTAGTAGCTTTCATTGCAGAAGTTAAATATATTTTATTTATTGAATAGTTGAGATGAATGTTAAGCAATGTTTGGTTTACCTGCCTGATGAAATATTGGTACATGGTATCCGCAATTTGGTTTCCCATTTTTTCTCAGTGCACCCTGCATCCCTCCCCTCCCCCCTCCGTTTGGTAACCCTTTCAATGAAGTTGTTAGCGATGAAAGCTGGCCACGCTTGGGAATTTATGTGTGATGTCTGTGCAGCTTCGTTGACTGGCACCAGGCTGCCTAAACGATTTAATTGAGTTAATCAACCTGCCATACACCGCAGCCCTCATCTTGATTTATTTTTGGTATTTTTATGGCTCGCTTTGTTTTTGGCAGTCGCTCGCTAATTTATTTATTTTCCCAAAGCTCGGCTTAAAAATAGTTCAGAGCCGTTGTCGCCGTCCTCAGACGGGCTAAATATAATATATATATAAATATATATATATAAAAAAAAGAATTGCCTTTGTATGTTTTTCTTCTGAATATAAACGGTGGATTCAGAAAGCGGGAAAACCCAAGATATGTATACTGAAATCATGTCATATTCCTTAATCATATGGTTATTTTAATACGGAAGAAAATTAAGTACTTTTAGTAATTAATTTATGAATAAATCGCAAAGTCAGTCATTTGTCATATTTTAAACATGTTCTTTAAAAGAGTGTGTAAATAATATATTTATAGTTATTAATAGTTCTTATCTTTATTTGTTATTAACAAATATTTAAATATGATCTGCCATAATTGGATATTCGAATATCTGAAAGATTAGAGAAACATTGAAATATTATCTAAACTTATACAAAAAATAGAAAACTATACAAACTATTCAACAAAATTGAAAACTTCGTTTTTTAAATTATATATGTATCTTATCATTATCTTTTGCCAACATAATTTTCAAAAAGCGACAAATTGTGTAAGTTAAATGTTCAGGAAATCTTTGTGGACTTGGATAATGAAATATGTATTTACTTGGCACCCGTCTCAAACCACATGACACGCCCCCAATTGGCAACCGCATGCGAGGGGTGCCGATCCTCCCCAGAATCACCCCTTTTCCCGATCCGAACTCATTTCGGCCGCTTCAGAGGCTTGGCCAAAAACAGCACGCGCTTGAACGCGGCTCTAACCAGTTCGCACCAAACCATCTGCAGCGATGTGAGCTATATATATATATATATGGTATATCTGCGATCTATTATCATGTTGGCTATTTTCGGGTTGCCATGAGCAGCCCTCGCAGACAATGGAAAAATTTCATTTGCAACTGAATTTGCTCTAAATGTTTGAGAAATATTCAATTGTTTTTTGCCAGGCCGTAAAATCTTATCAAAATTTGGCGTGTATCGAGGGAGGGGACGGGGGTGCTGCGGATTTTGGATATAGCAAGAGTAACTGGAACCGGGCACTGAGTCACGCATGATGAGTCACTGACCAGTGGCCAGTTTGGAACTAGACGAATCTGAGCCACAAGTCGCCGTGTTAAGCCCAGACTTAAGCATTTTGCTTATGCTAATTAATTTATAAATGTTTCTTTTTTCGCGCACACTCGCCAGTTGGGTCTCTTGATTGTGGTAAATGTCTGGCAATGTGGTTTCCTAAGAGGAGTCTTAATTAAATGTTGGGCATAAATATTTCAACTACATTTTTTGGATATATTATTATCATTTTCGAATACTAGTATACAGTAATTTGTCAATAAATTTATTTATTTCTAAGCTGATTAAGTTGTAATGTTACCATTTTAATCTATGTAAAGCAATTGCTTCGTTCTAATGATCCATATCTATATATTGTGTGGTTGTTTTAATGACATTTTCCATTTCCTACGGTATCAAAAGTCTCCACTCTCTCCTTTTTAATCGGGTTTTTAATTTTAGGGGGCGGGGGCAGTTGAAGTCGGCATTAACGCGTAAACGGATTGTCAATGGGGGAATGACACATCGTTGACTTGGTCGTCGTCTTTCAATTAGCCAAAAGCAAAAGCGGCCAACAGCAGCAACAATAATAGCAACAAATGCAATACGTTTTTGGTTTTTTTATTTTTTATATTTTTTTTTTCGAGACCTGGAACCGGAAATGCCCGAATCGAAGCGAGAAATCCATGTCGGAATCTCAATCTCAATCTGAATCGGAATCGGAATCGAAGCCTCTCTGGGGAAAAAACTCGAGGCGTTTTTGTTGTTGCTGTTAAGTCATAAATATTTAAATGTGGCGCTTAAGCTGTTAATTTACACAATATAAGGCAACAACAAAGGCAATCGGGCGGGAATTCAGCGGAAATCGTTGCAAAATTCAAAGAAATTGGGTTGAGATTATGGCAAAAAAAGAAAAGAACAACTGTTTATCAATATATCTGTAAGTTGGTGAAATAAGTGGAGCAGAGGATTTAAATGAAGGCTAGCAAAGTAGTTCCGCTCATAATGATAATTGATGATAAGTGACGGGATAGGCAAGAATGTATAAACTTATTCGGGGAACTAAAATCTTTGTGAAATTCTCAGGGAATAGGTCGATAAATAGTACAGAATTTAAAATGTAAGCCATGCGAATTTGGTATTCCCAATTTTATCATGCTTACTAAGTATTAGAATGTCAATCTCAACAAAGTAAATCCCATAATTAAGTGCAGAAAAACCCAAGATCCATTTTACGTTGAGTAATAATTTGCATAGGGCTTTAATAAAAGGTGGAACAGTTTTGAATTGCTTAATATTTTTGTATATGATACATTTATAGGTTTTAGTTTATAAATTTGATGAACTGCGATAGATTACTGTCTTAAAATTCATATCTACCATCCGTTAAAATTGACACTATCAAACGTATCCATTTGTAGTTGCAAAAATTAATAAAATTTTAAAGTTATTTAACTTGGGTTTTAAAAAAATAGTTTTAACTAATATCGAGGAATGGATTCGTTTTATAAACTAATTATAAATCATTACACTTATCCTCGTTTTTTGTCGTTTTAATTGTTTGTGGTTCAAACACCTGTGGATGTCGAGCATCCAGTATGCAGTAATCATTATTATTCTGCATCTCGGTGCATTTTGGCATCTGCTCCAAACTCAATTCCGAAACTCACGCCTTCGTGTTTGCCTTCATTAAACTGTAGGAAATATGCAAATTTGGCCCAAGAATCGTTGGGTTTTGGGGTTAGTTTGGTATTGGTAGTGGTAGTGGTATTGGTATAGGCAGTTTTTGTTGCGGGCTCCCCACTTTTGGCCACAAATCAATCCAAATGCGGTTGCGCAGCTGTTGCAGCTTCAGTTTTGCCCAGATGCAGGCTGCAAGATGCAGCCCTCAGTGGGTTAAAGGGTCTAAGGGGTCTTTAGGGGACCAGGGGGGGTTAAGAGTGACAACAATGTAACACATATTGAAATGGAATCTTTTTGGCCCATAAAACGGGGAGCCCACTTCGGTTGTGTTCGGTTTGGCTTTGGTTTTGCTTTTGGTATATACTTTTTATTATTTTCACTACCAATGGCCGCAGTCACTTCCCTGCTCATCGCCCCCTTTCGAAAAACCCAATCCCGAGACCCAAAAAACCACAAACTCACTTCCGTTTCGCATCGTTGTTGTTGTTAATGTACGAGTACTCGTTTCTTTCTTTTTTTTTTTTTTGCCGCCATTTTGCAGACCAAAAGAAGTAAAAAAGAGGGGAACACCTATAAAAAATGATGTAAAAAAACGAACTCCATTTACACCAATAAAAGCAACTACCACTACCACAACAACAACTTCAGCTACACGCACTTTAATTAAAATAACTTCAAGACTTGAAAGCTATCTGCTTTTACACTGACAGAAATTAACTTTATGGGACAAAAAAAAAGGCGATTATTAATGGGGAAAGTGTGCAAAAATGTCCTTCTCATTTTAATATATAAAATTTAGATATTTGGCATTCTCATAATGGGATAGAAAGGATATTATTGGGCATTAATAAATCTAGATAGCTGGTAGTTGTCTTACCAATATGATTCCCTCTTCTTATGTTCTGACCAATTTTTGGCCAGATTTTGCAGAAGCCACCACCTGCAGGCACTTGACTTATCCGCAAAGTTTGTGGTTTCTGTTCGGATGGACTGATCAGACTGCATCCGCTTTTTCCCCCCTCGTTAGCCTTTTTTTTGTTGTTGAGCGGATATATGGCCAAAATCGAAGATATCCGGTTGAAGCCGTGGGATCGATTGAAAGTGCAAGAAACTTGGTAATATCTGTAGAGTAAAAAACATGTGCGTTATAAGCTGGAATTTAAATATTTATATATCTCTTTTGAGCTTGCACATTTCTTCGTTTCTTGCTCACATTGCGTATACGCAATTTGAGGGAAACAAATTTCGCATAATTCCACGTGCCTGCTGAAAATTACAAGGTATGACCAATGGTTGTGACCCCCCGAATCCCCTTCACCTTTTTGCCCCCTTTTTCCCCGCCCCTGGACCCTCCGCCGACCCCTTCACTTTGCTAACTTGGCTTTCATCCTGTTCGTCTCGCTTCATTGCAACCTCATTTGCCTAAGTTTGCGGTGGTCCACCCTACCCAACCCCCCCTTCCCTACCCTCCACCCCATTCACCACCGCCCATGTCTTGGGCGTAATTTCAGCCCATGGTTGTTGCTGCAACGCAATTTGCGCCCTAATTGAAACATTAAAATGTGATAAGTGCCGGGTGAAAAGTTGCATGCAACTTGCAATTTTCCTACCTTTCATTAGTCGCCGCCCCTGTTTTCAAAGAGGGGCCAAAGGGGGGTTATTAAATGAGTAAGTGCGTAGTTGGCGTATGTTTCTCGAGTTTATTATTCATTATAGTGCGTAACTAAGTTCAGTAGAGACATAGATAAATACAATGACTCAATTAGTTACATTTTGTTTGTTGGTTCCTTTTTTAACGAATAACTTAACACACTTATTTGTTTGTACATAATTATAAAATTATATAAATCTCAATATGGTTAAATTTTTAATCGGTAAGTCAAAGCAAATTAGTTTATTCAAGTTTCATTAATAAATTAATAATAATTTTTTATGACTGTTAGTTTAGTTTTTCATGGCTTTAATCCCTTCTGTCAATTTTTGAAAATATTCCAATTAAATTAGATTATGAATTTTTGTATTCCTGCCAAGACCATTTCCTCAGAATATATTTAAAAGGGTTCTCTATTTTATTTTGCTACCTGGGAAAAAGATTTATGTTTCGTCAATTTAGCTTATGATGTTTTATTTTGCTAGCTATTTTTCTTTTATCGCTTCTAATGAATTTGATTAATTAGGCGACATTTTTGTCGCTGCTTTTTTGGGCAGCTGACACAGGGGCGTGGGTGGTGGCATTTGAGGAGGGGTGAGATATTGCGTAATTAATCAAAATATGCGAGATTCTGGGAATGGGGCTGCGATGTCCCGCTGGTTGCCTGGGAAACCCAGTTCCAACGTCTTGGAATTTTCTTTCGTCTTTTCGCTTAACCCATTGGCATGCACTGCAGTCGTCGTGGGGTTAAGAGGGGGAGTGGCTGATGGGCGGTGGGCGGTGGGGGATCGGCGATGGGTGGTGCTACACACATGCCTCCTTTTTCATGTTGCCATGCATATGAAATTATGTTTTCAATTATCCCTTCAGCCACGCCCACGTTTGCGACTGACAACTTGGCAAATTTCACTCGGGGGTTAATTGTGGGTGGGGAAATCAGGGGTTAATTGGGCCCCCAGCTGGCACTCATTTACCGGTTCTCTCTTACGCGTTCTATTTTCCATATATCGTTGCAATGCGTTCATGTTTTAAATTTAAATTTAGGCCTATAACTATTCTTACAGGCATCCGATTTCAAAACTTCATATTTCAAAATGATCGTAGTTTATTTTTTTGGGTCGATTTTTCGTCATTTTCAATGGTGTTACCCCTTTCCAAATTTGCGAAAAATGGGTTTGCAGAAAAGTGCCAAAAAACTGCACTTCTATGCTCATAACTTTTCTTACAGACATCCGATTTCAAAGTGGCATACCTCAAAATGATCGTGGTTTAATTATATAAAAATCTGCGTCCCCACTTAAATTTTTTTTTTGTGGCCAATATTTCCTTATTTTTAATGGTGTTACCCCTTTCCAAATTTGCGACAAATGGGTTTGCGGAAAAGTGCCAAAAAACTGCACTTCTATGCTCATAACTTTTCTTACAGACATCCGATTTCAAAGTGGCATACCTCAAAATGATCGTGGTTTAATTATAAAAAAATCTGCATCCCCACTTTAATTTTTTTTTTTTGGATGATTTTCCGTCATTTTTAATACCCCTTTCCAAATTTTCGAAAAAATTCCCTAAAAAAGTGTATTCAAAAGAATTTATTTTTACCATATTTTCCCCACTTAATGTCCTCATTTTCCCTTGATCTCTTCCAGGGCCCGATATGATGGGCGCCGGCGAGTGGACGGGATCTTCGAGTTCGGCGGCTGCCTACTACCACAGCCACGCCCACCATCCGCACGCCCACCACGCCCACGCGCACGCCCACCTGCAGCACCAGATGGCCCTGCCCCACCGCCACCACCGCCCGCTGCCGCCCCCGTTTCGGTGGGCGGCAATGGAGCCGCCATGGGCATGGGCATGGGTATGGGCATGAGCCACTACGGCGGGGGCTACGACTCGGCCAACTCGATGGAGGCGGGCCAGTATGCCGCCCACCTGCCGACGGTTCTGCCCGAGATGCACGGCCATGGATTCGCCGCCGATCCCTACCAGACAGCCGGCTACGGCGGCGGCAATTCGGGCGGAGGCAGTGCCTCCAAGTCGGAACTGGACTACGGTGGGGGCTACAATCAGGCGTGGTCGAATGGCTATCAGAACTATCAGTACGGCAGTTGTTTGGCCACCGCCCAGTACGGTCCCCAGGCGGCCCCGCCCCCACAGCCACCGCCCCCGCCGCCGGTGGTGCTGTGCCCGCAGCTCTACTCCACGGTCAACCAGAACCAGATCCACCTGCATCTGCACAGCAGCGAGAAGCTGGAGCAGTATCTGGGCACGGCCACCGGGGCGGAGCACCTGACCATTGGCTCGCTGACGGGCAGCAGTCGTTCCAGCATCGAGATTGGCCAGGATCAGTACCACCAGGCCCAGCAGGTGCACCACCCACTGCAGCAGCAGCAGCAGCAGCAGGTGCACCACCCACAGCAGGTGGAATCCGCGGTGGAAGTGGGTGGCGGAGGAGGAGGAGGTGGTGGGGAGTCCGCCCGGGAGGAGGACGTGGGCGATCTCACGCAGGTGTGGCGACCCTATTGACCCAATCGGATCACCCATCGGCCACCGGCACCACCCAACCACCACCCACTTCCGCTTGCCAACAGCACCACCACCACCACCCACCCACCGCTGCACCTGCACATCGAACTGAATTAGGAGAGCAGCAGGATCACCACAAGAACTGTACAATGTTTTTTTTTGTTTTTTTTTCATAGCTGATAACTTATATATATATTTAACTAACCCCAATACATATGAAAGGTGTACATAAAAGAATGAATACGTTTAAGATATAGACATAATATATGGTCAAGTGGACTTCACGAACTCGAACCTTGAACAATATTATTTCAAATATTTTTTGGTAATACTTTTTTGATAATACTTTTTGAGTAAACAGTAAAGAAACTTTTGAGAACTAAATGAATTAACAAAACCAGCATATTTTCTATCCTCACAGCTTATTGGTATTACATATTCCCTCCAGGGAATCGTTTTTTGTTTTTCCCCTTTTTCACTTTTTTTTATATGTCTATGGTACTTTTTTATAACTATTTGAATTGTAATTTTTATACGAAGCTAAAAATTTAATTGTCAGAAAACTCCTTATTTCAAACATTACGCATGTAATAATAGTAATTTATTTCTAAATCTACATTTCCACCTAAATTCGAGAGTTCGAGAAGCAGCATAATAACAAAATTCATAATAATAATACTAGTAAAAAATGTAAGCACATAATATCATCAGCTAAACCAACTGTAAATAATATAAAATTTAAAGTTAAGATTGAACGTAAAATACTGAATATGAAAATGATGTAACCACTAACACTAATCCTAGCGTAGAGAGCACCCAATCCCCTACAAACCGTAGAGAACCATTTTTTTTATTAGCCATAAGCCTAGAAAGATACTCGATAAAGCCGCACAATTATCTATAAATATATAAATACCTATGTATACATTTTTTTTCTGTTACTTTGTGTGTTTGAATCTGCCAAAGGATTCGAGATGAAAGTGAAAATCTGAGCGATGAAGAGAATACTATAAATAAAGTTATCGTATTTATTTAAATATGATTTATTTACTGAGTCAGAAATATAGGTAAAGGTAAGATATTGCTATATTAATGATTATTGTTATTATATAACTCCATCTTGTTAATAAGTACACTCAAATTTAAACTGCGAAATTCCGTTTTCCATTGAGACACCATTTTGCGAGGAAGGGAAAGACCTGTGCAGAAATATTTTGCTGACCACAAGCGAAATGCAGAAATGCCAGCAACAGCAGCGGATACTTAATTATGTGCATATTTTAGATTAGAAGCAACAATGGCGAAAAAAAGAGTTCGCAACAATTGCGAAAAAAAAAAATTGTGCATTTTTGAGTGCGAAGCCTTAAAAATGCACGTGTAAATAATAAATTAAAAATTATTGCCAAACAGAACCACAAAGTGTGCACAGGCCATCGCACCGCCTCGTTCCCCGGGAAGATCTCCGATCTGCGATCTCCAATCTCCGGCAGCTCTAGTTCCATTTTCATTTTCATTTTCATTTTAGCCTCTTCTGCGGTTGCTCCATGGCGTACATACTCGTAAATTGGAGAAGCCCCCCTTCGCACTGTCGTTGGGTGCCGCCATTGTTGCTTTGGCAGGCAAATCAAGACGGGGCAGTCAAGTGTTAAATTGCAAAAGACATTTCCATTGTCGGCAATTGCAAAACGTAACCCTAGACCCTAGACAAGAGACCCGAGCCGAGTCGATCCGATCCGAGGTGGGGTCTATCGATAGTCCATAGCCCTACCACTGCAAATAATGGATGGATCGCTCTGATTTATCAGAACTGAATGTTTTTAACTGGAACATGTGTTTCTTTAATCATTTCTCTCATTTTTATAAAAACTAATTTAGACTATCTTAAGAATTATATATTATTATTTTTATAATTGTAATACTACCCTTTAAAATAAATGTATCATAGCTTGTTATTAGGCAGTAACATTTCTAAGAAATTTAAGGGTGACACAGAAATCGCATTAGAGATTAATCCATTTCGCATGTTTTGGAATTTCCGGACTGAAATCATTGCATACTTTTAAAAACCATATGTAATGGTTTTAAATCATAACATACTGTATATTTTCTACAGATGAATATTTAAGTGTAGAAGCCAGATCCAGGGAAGCGTTAAAGATATACTCCTCATCACCCCTCGATTCATAGCCCCCTTTGGGATGCTTGGAGCTTTCTTCGGGCAGAAGCCCGACACACGTCTCATCTTCGAACCGCCCCTGCCCCCGATTCCATAGCTCCAGCTATGGTAAGTGATCCACGCCAAGATCTTGCGGTGGCCCAGAACAAAGGAAGGGACCTGAGGGCAGGGCTAGTAACTTTGTCAGCAGTTTATGATGGGCGACTTGAATTACCACTGCGAGGAGGAAGCCGAAGCCTGAGCCGATCCAAGGGCTAATTAACTCCAGGTTTCAGCACCAAAACATCCAGCAGATGTAAGACCCGTCATACAGGCTACCGTGTGGATGGGAATCTTGGGTGGTCCTGTCCAGCGATTCGAGGGCGGAAAAAGAAGCCTGCTCATGAATGGGTCGGCTTATGAATCGAGCTGAATTACAGAGGAGCCAAGTGAGCTAAAGATAGACCACAATGTGGGCGAAGTATGTTGACCCACTTACAGAAAGATTACAACAAAATTACCCAAATAAGATGTATTAAGAACCCATTATACAATCCTACTTAATAAATCTTTAAATTAAAGATTAATTTCTTAGTTATTTCTGCTAAGTCATCTATAGTTTCATAGTAAGTGTGTGTGCCCCACTTTGTGTTATGAGTCGGCCGTGCATAGCATTGATATGAAATCATCAAACAGATTTCCCAAATTTCAACTCATTCAAAATTTATATTAGCAAATCTAACGAGATGTGAATCATCTCTATAAACATCTTACACAAATTAATGGAAGCACAGGTACCTTGTTTGAGAATCGCAGAGAAAGGCGGTGCTTTTCGTCGTCGCTCCATCCCCCTCTTTTATCCTTTTTCGAGACTTTATTCATTAGCTTTGACATGAACAAACAAAAATTTCACAAAAGCAAGAAAGGCAGGTAAAAGAAGTAAATAAAAAGCTGTTACTTTCCTCTCCCTCACTCATAAGCTTAAATAATGGTAAAAAATTAACAAAACAACGACGATTGCCATCTCGCTCTGACACCCCGTTAAGCGGAAACTGTAACAGTAACGGTAAAAGTAAATGTAAATGTGGATGTAAGCGTAACGGCGTAACTGTGCTACTTACAATGCGAATTTCACTACACTGCCAAACGAGTTAAAATAATGTTTTATTTGTTGTTGTTTGTTCGGGGTGCGTGTTTTCCTCAAATAAACCAAAATGAAATCCGCAACAACAAAATCAAACGAAGCAGAACGGAGAGCAACAACAAAAGGCCAGCGAGCTGTTAAGCGCCACCCACAAGTGTGCGCAACAAAACACACAAAAAATCGAACAAAAAAACCCCATTCAGCTAAAAAAAAAAAGAAAAGGAAAACACAAGTGAAAAGCAAGAACAAAAAACATTAAGCGAAGGCAGCAATGTAACCACCCACAAAAAAGAGCAATAAAGAGTGCAGCCTCAAAAAAAGAGAATCGTGGAAAAATAAGAGTAAGTTTGTGCCGACAAAAATAAAAGTTAAGAGAAACATTGTTTGAAATGAAATAAAACTAATATTTTAATATATACAAAAAGGTTTGTTTTATTGGGTAAAAATAAGTTATTATTAAAAATGTGTATATTTTCTAAGATTAGATTATTGAGCTCAGTTTGAAAATGTGTGTAACTTATTGTTCTTGAAAAATGCAAACATTTATGTTTCAATTATTAAATCTAAAATCGAGAAATTTAGAATTCGTTTAACGAATTTTAACATTCGATGTCCTGATAAATAATTCAAAAACTTTTTAATGTGACTTCAAACTTTAGATTCAGCTGATACTAATTCTCTTTTCAATAAACTCTCTTCTGCCGCATTCAGCGTCTCTCTTTTAGCCTCTGTTTATTGTTTTGTCAGCGGAATTGAATCCGTTAAAAGGCCCGAAGTGATTCATTGGATCTTTGGGTTTTTGGCAGCACAGAAGTGCGTTACTACATTTTGATATGAGTGTGCTTTAAAGCGATGACCCTGGCCCATGACGAAAATCTCCAATCGCGCCGTTTCGATGGCCAGTTGGGCGCTGTTAGCCCAGTTAGTATTGATGGACCGATATGTGACGAGGGGGGCTTTCCCTGGCGACGTCACTCTGACGTCGTAGCCGGCACACGCCGCGTATGAGTAATTTAGAAACCTGGCTGATGGCGTAACTCCTGCGATCGGGGGTCTCTAACCCATATAGATATTTATATAGATCGTTAGAGTGTCGAAGGGGGCGGGGTATCATTATGTTGTCAGAGCTGGTGGCACGCACGCCATACCGCTGCAACATGTGGCCAAAAGTTCGCAACATTTTTTTGCACGGCGACTGCTAAATCACAGCGCCAAATTGTGGAACACACCTGGTTCTCAACATTAGCACTTCGCCAAAAATCACACTGAGAGAAAAATCCTATTTTCTTTTAATAGGTAGCCTTAAGGCTACAATGATTTCAGTTAATTGGTAAACGTAAATAAGCCCGATTACTTTTTGTGAATATGAATATTCTGAAGATAGTTAGAAATGGAATTTTTACTTGATGTTACAATATGTTTTTTTTTTTTGGGGCAGCTGCAGAATAAAAACAATAAAAAAGATGGCTATACAAATGCAAAATTATTTAATGAATTATAAAGAGTAAAATAATTTTATTAAATTAATTAAATGTTGTTTTTCCCCCGCATAATTGTAGCATAAATAATCTGATATTTCCAATCAATAAATACAAATGGGGTGCGTCATTTTTCCCAGTGCATCCCAATAACATTCTGGAGCTTCGGTTTCGTATGTAAATTTTATTCTTTGCCTAATTTGCCTTTTTCGACTTTTTGCACCAAATGAAATTAGCTGCGCTGGCCGACAAAAAACCCCATAGAGGAGTGTTTGGAGGCGGAGGCGGTGGCGGTACGGAGGGGGGCGTGGCCGGCGGTGGGCGACTAATGTGTTGGCATGTGTCAGACACGCATCAAACGCAGCGACAGGCGGCAGGGCAAAAAACCGGGACAGGATGGGGTCAAATGAGATGAGATGGGTTTTTGGCATCGCAACGCACTCACCTGAAGGGTCCAACTGGAGATAATTAAAACAAAATTGAAACTAATAAGTCACAAAACTAACTTTTGTAGAGTAATTTATTTCAACGAAAAATATATTATGACAAACTAATTAAAGGAATGCGGATCGTGGCTTACATTAATTGTATTAATCAAAGAATGTTGAGGGAGTACATATCCCAAATTTAATTTGCCGAAAAGAAAGTAACTTCGATTTGCTGCCTTTGTACTAATGTTTAAACATATTCATATTTAAATGATTTAAGATTGGTGACCATCTAATAATCAACATGTATTAAAATAGTGCGATCGATGAGTATATTCAACGTCACCATCATCTGACGCAAAATGAATAAGACCTTTGGATGGCGATGATGTTGAATTCATCAATCCATTGTCTGATGGCCAAGATGACTAGAAGCTTCCACGGATGAATCAACTTTAATCATGTAGCATAATGCGAATACCGCTTGATTCACGGATTATTCACGAACATATTGATACCCAGGATATTTCTAGGGGGTTACCAGTTCGTGTCACGCCAATTCACAACTGGTCATCTCATGGGCTCTTTTGACGCTACACTGTGAGAAATATTTAAATAATATATATTTGTAGAATATCAATTTTAATTGTTATTTGTGATATTAATGTCCATCCCTATAAAACACAAATTTAAAACTACATTTCCACTATTTTTCTTTAATAATCGATTAATTTAAGTTTGAATGATAAATCGTAGGAATACAAGTTATAAATAATTTTT